GCACAGGCCTGTACTTTCTCTTTGTGGTGAGGGGCTACGTTGAGATGCCAGACCTCAAGCATGCAGCCACCTGGCTCAAAAACAACGTTGTTGGAAGAAGTGGTACTGTGCCGACCTGTGGACGCCAGACGCTTCTCTTCGCACCGGTTGTGTCTCTATGCTGACCCTTCAACTTACAATCTGCGGACATGTAAAGATGATAAAGATGTCAATGCTGTTATGCTCCTACCTCTCAGGCCATAGCAGCAGCAGTCCTATTGCCGTTGTGCGTTTGCGCCTCAGCGACGGGTGCGTCCCAGGAATTGGAGGCCCTAGAGACATCAGTTCAGCAGGAATCTAGCCTTCAAAGTTGTATTTAGGCACGGCTTGGTACGGAGCAATGGAAGGCTTTGATTTTCTGCCCTGCTGGCATTGTGTCTGAGGTCTTGATATACATAGCTGGTGACAAACCAGCTGTCATCAAAGGAACTCGAGCAGACTTGCCTTGGTTGTATATGCCGATGACACTTGTGGGACTAGCGGCTGGGGCTTATTGGGAAGTGAACGATTCGGCGTTTGTGAGGCGAGGTTAATGCTTATTTTTGCAACCGCACAACCAAAAGAATTTGCCTGATGAAGTTTCGGTTTGAAGCCCACTTTTGAAAGGGCGCCCCAAGTTGAAAGCCTGATTCAGTCTGTGGGTTGCAGGGCTGTGAGGATGGCCAGTTGCAAAGACGCATTGCAGATTTTTTGCTTGCAATATGCTGCCATGAGCTTTCCTTGCGATGATGCTAAGGTCAGTGCAGTTCTTTGGCTGGCTGCCTTGTCCAAGGAGGGTCAGCGAGCAATGTCCTTGGTAGATGTGCCAGACTTGCGGGTTTGACCCACAAAGGTGAGGAGACTGCGGATACAAGATTTTACAAGTAGAATTCAGACATCAAAGAAGGCTGAGATTTTGGACCGCCAAAGGCCAAAGATTCCCCATTTAAGGCCTACTTTGGGTACACCTGACTTCTGGACATGCCGACACGAGTTTGTGAGTGGGCCTGAAGTGACATGTCTCATAATTTGCAGAAGCTGTGGGTTCAGCAGCTGATGGCTGCGTTCCAATACAAAGCACCCAGCAATACTTCGGTGCTGTGCCAATCCCAAATGAAATGATTGCTGCAGGAAATCACCGCGATACTGGAGGGCGTGTGTCGTTATTTTCAAGTGAGCAGGCTTCGGTCAGGATTTACTCTTCTGGCATGGGGCGCCTTGGGCAGAAACCCGAGGATGGATGAGTCAAGTCTGCGTGTTTACGCAGGGAAAGGCTACACTGCAAATCATTCACATCCGTGATATAAGTCTTAGCCAATTGGTTGGCATTGGTTGCCTTATTTGTGGATCATGTGGATGCCAATGGGTCTTACTGAGGGAAGGGCCCAAGGTTTAAGTGTCCTTGGCCGGATGCACGGTTTGAGCCACCGGCAAGGTAATTGTGCCTCTGATTTGGTCGCGGCCTACAGCCTTGCGGTCATGAATGAATATCCCCTTGCACTTCATGGTCTCTTGACTCGGCTGAAAGATGTTGAAAGCAGCTTTCAACTTTACCATTGTGCTGGGCCGCTGGGCATCCGGTCTGTGCTCGTCATGTTGGCAGAGCTTTGCTCCAATTCCGAGGAATTGTGGCGACCCAATTCTTCAATGTATCTGCAACTTGGCCAGATTTTGCGCATCTTCATCGTACATTTTGGGCGCATTTTGTTAGTGTTGGCAGAATTGTTTCTCTGTGTTGAGGTGGGGTTCCCCTCTTCACTCCTTGTCATCACCTGGCGAAGCCCTAACCTTGCCATTTTTGAAAATGGTTGGCCTGGCTCCATCAGGGATCCTTTGCTCGCTACTCGGCCGATATCTATTTCTGATTCTTTCTGTTTTTGTGCTGGCTGTTGAGTGGTACAAGGGAAAGTTTTACAAAGACGAGGCAAGAAGGTAAAACATGGTAAAACCATGCGAAATCATTTGACGATAGGCAGGCCATTTTCCCATTTTCCCATTTACTGACACAGTGAATGCCCGGACCCATGTGAGAATGGAGGATTGTGTTCTAGCTGAAATCATTGGCCAAGAACGGACAGTTTTCTACTGCTGACATTAATTGACGCATGGATAGACAGTTTGCCGATTTACTGACGCGCTCCAAAATGTGACATTCAATGGGGTGTGATTTTAGTGCTTGAAGCCAGCTTGGAACGGATGATAAGTTTGAATTGATGGGGTGAGAGGCGAAAACCAGTTGATGATGGATGGACATTTTGCCCATTACTAACACAATTGGAGGTTGTAATCATGCTACCGTTAAACCGTTTTGACAATGGATGGACAATTTTCTACTAACGCCCTGAGAGCTTGACGAAGTTATTTGACAATGGATTGGTAGTTTTCCAATTTACTGACACAACGAGAGATTGATAATATTTGACAGTGGATGGGGGTTTTCTAGGCTGGAATCATGTGGCAACGGATGGGCAGTTTTCTGCTGGCGCTTGTTGGACAATAGGGATGAGTAGGGTGAGCTGGTTGGACACTATCACTTGACTGCAGGTATGCACCTGCTCAATTGCTGTGGCTGCCACTCGGCCACCTTCGCGGTGGGGTCACAGTTACAGACAACCAACAACCGAACTAGAAAATGGTTCTGACCCATGTGAGGATGTACTGGCATATATTGGATTATATTGGCATTGGATGGAGCAAACCAATTCAAGCGCGGATCCCGAGGTTTCTACTTTGGCCCTATATAGTATGTTCGATTTGCAGGTGAAAAGCATTTCATCGGCCATGGCATCCTGTCTGCAAGAATTTTACAAGACAAGGCCAGCAAGTGAAGGTGGAGCTTTGGATTACTTGCAGTATCAATTTTCCTTACCTAGGTGCTGATATTAAATTATCTACTTTTCCTTATTTTCATGTGGTTGAATACAACGAAAGACGTGCCACAGCAACTTAGCGACATATAACAATTAGCATTTCATAAAATTAAACATATTACTTATAGATAAATTATAAACATGTTTAAAAATATTTGAGGTTGAAATTAATATAAACGATATATAGTTAATATGTTAGATTGATCGTATATATAATTTATGTATAAAATATATGGTGATCGATCTAAAGGTCCTTGTAAGGAGTTTTAATTGCGAAAGCCGTGAATGTTATGTTGGAAACCCTCGCGAAATTTTTTTTCGAGTTCGCGAAAGTAAAATTTTATTTCGCGAAAGTTTCGCGAAAGTTGGGTATTATAATCATTATATGAAAGGGCTGCCACCCACTGCCGCCCGGGGTCCGGCAGGAGAAGGGCACCAGAGAATGCGAGTAGCAGTAGCCAAGTTTCCAAAAGTGATGCTTTGCGAGAGCCAAACACCAAGGCCCCTGGTCTTCGTTTTTCCTTCAGTGCACCCCCTGCTGATGGCCGGGGTCTGTGAATAGGGATATTTTCGCGAAAGTTCTGCGAAAGTTATGCGAAAGAGCGGGCGAAAGTCAAAGTGCATGTTGAAGGGGGTGGGCCAGTAAACTTTGCAAAAAATATCTGTCCTGAGAAGGGATTCCGTGATGCTAGCTGCATGTTTAAAAGGCTACCAAGAAGTGATCCGTGATTCTCTGGTGTAATTTGGCAGGTGGTGAACGAATCTTTATAAGAGGTGTTGTTGGCCAACATGGGCCCCGCGAAAGATAAACATGGAGTTCGCGACAGTTTCGCGAAAGTAAATTTTTATTCGCGAAGAATGGCCGTTCCGGGATAAAGGAATTTTGATCAACAACCATATATATATATAATTATATATATATTATATTATTATATATATAATTATATATAATGTATAATTATAGCAATATGTTTGGGCGTATAAACAATTTAAATAGATTCAGATATAGATGGTAATTATGCATATATATATATACGGAGGTAGGTAGTTCATGGTAGTTCTGGATTGCAGTTGACCAAGGCTCACGAAGTCGCAAGGCCAGGAGAGAAGTTGGTACTGGATGATGGTGGGGTATCCATGGAAAATCACCATGAGATGGAACAGTTTGCTATTGATGTGAAATGTTGTGAACTTTGACATTTTCAATAGCATCCTCTGATAATCTCACAGTTTGCCTTGGAAAATTACAATTTTTCATAGATAAACCATCGAACTAAATGGGCCATGGCTTCCACAGCCTATTATTTGGGCTTGCCACATTAATAATCATAGTATAAAGTATAAAGCATATGCCCCCTGGAAATGTAACATAGCTACGGAAAATGGTCCATTTGCAGATGAGTTGCCTAAGGTATTCAACATAGTGATTTTCCAAAACCATGTTAGATCCCCAGAGGGTAACAGAGATTTTCCAAGTTGCCAGGGCTCAAACCGAGGGCCATGGCGGCCATGATGGGGGGCCCCAGCGCAGGCGAAAAGGCCGCAGCTGCTGGCGCCTGGCGATTGAACGGCGTTTAGTGTCGACAAAAGTCGCAGGGCGACAGCGATGTTGAGCAGATGCAACGTGCGACACGTAACAATACTCCTTTTTCTGTGAAGACATGATACATATATGTGTTGTACAATGTCGTATATGATTGTCTATGACTGTATATGTATATACGTATCATAAGTATATAGATAATAATATATAGATATGGAATGATGTAGGTACCAAGAAATTTATTGTATGAGTGCCTGTTTTGACCCTGACGTTTTTTTCACGATGCCGATCCACCTCCTAAAGTGGTCAAAATTGAAGGCTCATTTCTAGTAGTAAACCATCCACTTTTGAGCCACGTGAAAAAGTACCCTATGTTTGTGCGTCATTCATTTGAGCAGTATTCAAAAACCTTGTTGGTTGATGATTTATAGGGATTATCAGAATCCACTATGGGAATTCCTACTCACCAACCAGCTTAATAGAATGACAGAAGCTTTTTGAAGAAGGGTTCTATTTTCCATGCCATTGCCTTTGCAAGATCTAGTCCACAGCTCCTGGCAGCCACTTGTTTGGCTCCGGGTGTGGTAGGGCCCTCGTTGGCCGCTTGGTCCCAGCGTTCTGCCCTCGGCGAGGTTTTTTGATCAGGATACTGATCAAACTGGGGGAGATAGATCTACAAAATTTTAATTTGCATCATATATATATATATATCACATATCTATCATATATCTATCATATATTTATCACATATCTATTATCTATCATATATTTATTTATCATATATTGATCACAGATTTATCACATATATTATATCTATCATATATCTATCACATATATATCACATATCTATCATATATCTATTATATATCTATCATATATCTGTCGTATATTCATCATATATTTATCATATATATGTATCATATATCTATCATATATCTATCATTTATCTATAATACATCTATCATATATCTATCATATATCTATCATATATCTATCATATATCTATCATATATCTATCATGTATCTATCATGTATCTATCATATATCTATCATACATCTATCATATATATATCTATCATATATATATATATCATATATCTATCATATATATATATCATATATCTATCATATATCTATCATATATCTATCATATATCGATCATATATCGATCATATATCTACATCTCTGTGCATATGTATATCTGAATATCTATAGATCTATAGATCTATGTATCTATATATTTATATATCTATATATCCATATATGTCGATGTATCTATATATATATACATCTACATCTTTATCTATATCTAAATATCTATCTTTATCTCTATCTCTATATCTCTATCTATATCTATATTATATTATATATTGATCGATCCATCGATCCATCGAATGATCTATGTACATTATACGTTGAAGGTCAATGGCGCGAAACCTCTCCGTAGGTGGGGCCACACACGCGACAGCGTCGAAGATGCCTTATGAAGAGGATGGCGAGTGGGGGAGCCCGACTTTCCAGAATTGGCTCAGGCATACAGGATGGTGCCCCCCAGTTATAAGTTGGTTTATAAACCCCAGAAACTATAGTTATATCTGCCATAAACCATAGTTATGGGAGTTATAAACCAACTTAGCTAACTATGGGGCACCACCTTGTAGCTTCCAAATGGGGATCCCAAGAGATAAATGTGGTATAAAACCAACTACAATGGGGATGTAGTGGGGATGCAATGGGGATGTAGTGGGACGGGATGTCATGGAGCGTAACCAAAATTATGACATGATATTATCGGCTTTGTCTTCGGCACCTCAAACATTTGGAAACCTGCACGACGCGAAGTGCATGGGAACATCGCCCACACTGAGGGAGATGGTTTTGTTTTCGGGAGAATATGTTCGGAGCTGGAGCTAGCTGGGAAAAATGATCAGCACTGTGCTTACTTTTCCATACATACAATCTGGAATTCTGACCCCGGATGAAATGATATGACAGGGATTGGTTGAAGTCGCTCGGAACGGAAATCCCGCATGCCTGGTTCATACTTGGAGGTTTCCTGAAATGGAGGATCTTCAGTCGTCACCATGGGTTTCAATATGTTTCAATACTAAAATGATCATCCATGACTTGGATGATTTGGGGGTACCCCCATCGAATCTTCTCCACAGGTCATGGGATCTCGACTACAAGCAGCATATCGATGGGATGGCAGAGAACAGGCCCAGTTGCAATTGATGTCTCCTGGAATACCTGGTTGCTGCAACTTGAGATTCGTGATATATCATAGATAATCATAGATATTCATAGATGTTATATCAAATCCGCCCACACCGCTTTGGCGGTGAAGGCGTGCTTATTGGGGGGCAAAACAGCAACACTAAATGCTCAATGACATTTGTTAATATAGCAGTCGCTATATCAGCTTTAGCTGGGGGGGGGGGGCCAAAAACGGTTTCGCACCGAGACCAGAATACGGTGGTGTTTTCGACATTTTTCGAGGATTTTTGGGTGTCTGAGCGCAAGAGGGTATTGAAATGGAATTTTGGGTCATTTTGGTAGCTTTCCGGCAATGGAAAAACGGCCAAAAATGAAAAAAACATTGTACATAGCAAGATTTTGCAGGGTTTTTGGATGCCAGAGCATTGAAAACACTGCAAAAACAAGTGTTTGGACTGACGTTATAGCAAAAAACGTGTAAATTACCGTATGCTTGACTGGAAGCATTACAAAAACACTGTCAAAAGCATGTTTGACTGGAAACATTTGTCAAAAGCAATGTTTTGGAAGGATTTACTGCCTTTATGGCAAAAAACGTGTAAATTACCGTCTGTTTGACTGGAAACATTGGAAAAACACTGTCAAAAACAATGTTTTGGAAGGATTTCTTATATATATGTTGGAGTTGGCTACCGGCATTGGAACATGAAAAAATTGAAGAAAACACTGTAAATAGCGGTATTTTCAACGGTTGGGGAGATAAGGGAATTGGAAGCATTGTCGAACATGATGTTTTCGACCGGTTTTATGGCGACAAAAGTGTAAAGTACCGTGCTTTGAAGGAAACCATTGCAAAAACATGGAAACACATTCAAAGAACACGGGATTTGGGGGACTATCTAGGCGTCGTTGTCTAGCTATTTGAAATTCCGCAGCTTGGAGAGCCTCCAAGGGAGGGAAAAGTGAAAATTCCATAGCTTGGGAAGCTGTCACGGCGGGGAAAAGTGAAAATTCCCTAGCTTGGGAAGCCCCCACGGGGGGGAAAAGTGAAAATTCCCTAGCTTGGGGAGCCCCCACGGGGGGGAAAAGTGAAAATTCCCTAGCTTGGGGAGCCCCCACGGGGGGGAAAAGTGAAAATTCCCTAGCTTGGGGAGCCCCCACGGGGGGGGGGAAGTGAAAATTCTTAGCTTGGGGAGCCCCCACGGGGGAAAACCACCCTTAGCCCCTCTCACGGACCGAAATAAACCTGCGGTGTGGGCGGCCACCCCACGCGAAGCGGGGTGAATATATGTATATGCATATATAATAGATATCTCATATATATATATATCATATATAACTATATATACAGATATCATATATGATATATAGTGAATATAAATAGTTCCTAGACCATTCACGTTTGCACACAGCAACTGAGCTTTTCACGTGCGTCCGGCGGTGCGATCGCGCCAGGCCTGGGCACAAAAAGTTTGATGCCTACAGACTGCCAAAGTGGGTCACGTCCTCGTCGCGGAGCTGTGCTTTTTTTTTGTGGCGAAACCCGCAAAGTTTGACATCATAATTTCAATGACATCCAGGGTTGATCTATTATATATAACTCTCTCTCTCTATATATACTTATATATATAACTATATATACATATATATATAACTATATATATATATGTACTTAATAGTGTTTATGATCTTCCATGATCATTGGATCCAGTTGGTTTCAAGTAAACTTGAGTGATGTTGATGCAAGTTGTTGAACATTTGAAAATGATCATATGCGATGAAGGTTTCTGCAATCTGACTCGGATGCTTCTCCTGAAAAAGGGATCTAAATGCATCGGAAGATGCACCTCAATTAGTCTCAGCGTGAGAAGTTGACGCCAACAAACACCGACACCAAAATCATCTGAAATGTTTTGTGGTCGTACTGGTATGTGAAATCCTCCTGATGTACGTGAATCTCATTGGATCTGTTTCAGGAGACACCTTTCCAAACATGCTTTGCACACAATCCAAGAAACATATCACTGGTCGCATCCCCAATGATTCAACCAATGCTTCGACCACAAGAACCATGGTGAAGTCCCAGGTAAAGCATCCACTGTCGCATCCATTCAGTGGCATTAGCGTTACCGTTGGGAGACCTCAGCGGGGAATTTTTTTAGAGGGTACAGGCTATTCCAATGGCTCTGGCTTTGAACATTTAGGGGAACAAGCCTTGATCCAGGATGGTGAATCAGAAAATCCGGAAACATTCAAAGAAATTGGGTGGTAATCGACAACTTGGGCTACCATCCCATCTCCCTCGAAAATTGGGGACCCAAGATCGCATTTGATATCATCCTATACTCTTGGGAGCACCTCAAAGACCCAACAACTATACCTATTTCAAGCCCCCATCATGTTTAAAATGGGTACATGATGAAATCATGACCAAATTATACCAGATTAATCCTAGATTAATATCAACTCTTATATATATATAGAGTTCATATATGTTTATATAATTATATAGTGTTTATATATATATATATGCACATGTATGTATCATAATGTTCAAATCATACATAGATTTGGTTATAATATTATATGGTAACTTATGTTCGGTTGCATGAATTATACACTGGGTTGTATCATAATGTTACTGTATATATATATATATTATATGTATAAAACCAAGTTTTATACCCCAGATGGTGCAACGAACTCTGCCCGCCCCGTCATTACACTGGGCTGATCTTCGCTGCTTCGCTCAGCCCGACGCCTACGCCTATGCCTGCCTCAATGGAACGTCCGGGGGTCTGATGGGCGACATGGCAACGTAGGTTATATGTATGTATATATATATTATTAACACCCTTGGTATATATACCCTTCATGATATGAAAGGGGATGGTCATACTTTCTACAAAAAACCATGGAAGTTTACATCCAGATGGAAGTTTCCTCAAAATGGGGGTCCCCCAAAAAACGATCCAAGTCATTCGACCATGGTGACTGGGGATGACCAAGGTTGGACGGCTTGACCAACTTCCTGGGCTGGGGTCCAGCTCACATTGTCGGGGATCCCAAGGATTTTTCACAATGGCCACAGGATGATGATGGGGACAGTTATGGTTATGGGTACCTGATTTTCAGACCCAGATGGTTTTTGTGTCTCACAATCAAGCCATGAATCAAGGGTCTAGACCAACTGTTTCTGTAGCTGAAGCTGACAAGGCAGATTTACAAAAAACACGTATTTGTTGACGGATTTCCAGCTGACAAGGGATGCTGACCCAGGCTTGCATGTATGGCAACATGGACATGCTCAAGGCTGGTGCTGGATTGGGTTTTCCATGGGTTTTCCCAACACACGGATTACAACTCTCCTTACCCTCTGGTAAACTAACGTAACTATGGAAAATCAGCATTTTCAATGGGTAAATCCACTATAAATGGCCATCTTCAATAGCTATGTTAGTTTACCAGAGGGTATTATTTTTTGTGGCAAATGCGTCCAAATCAGCCTGACTCCTCGAAAACCATTCCGGGTGCAGGCGTGCAACGAGCAAGAGCTGAACGCACAGACCTTCAACGGCGAGACGTGAGGAACCTGGATGAAAGAGTACTTGGTACGCAACGGACTCATTGACACAGGACATAGGACATAGGTTGATATTGATATAGGTTGCCAGACTTCCAGCACTCAGTCTTGTTTGCCCCGACTCAAGCATCCTTATGCAAGATATTTTGCCAAAACGAAAAGGGAGAGCAAGTGCTGCTCCAAACTTAGATGTACTGTAAGTGCATCATACAGCGTCCTGTGTGTATCCGGTTAAGTGCAGTTTGATTGAGGCCAGCGTGGTATGCCGTGCGCTACGGCACTCCGTGGTGCATGCTTCAGACGGGCAATTGATCGAAATGCATTTTTTTTTAAACTACGTAATTTCATGGAAAACAAAATTGCGGTATGAATGCAGCCACAAATTTGATCAAAATTGACATTTTTTTTGTATCCTTTTCAAAGCAACTTGTTTGTGGCAGCACTTTCGAGGTGCTTGCAGTGGCTCGTGGAGCACGGAGCAGATACAACCACTCCAGATCTGAATGGCAACACTCCACAGCAGTTGCTTGGTGCCGGCGACCATTCTGATGTGGCTTATGGACTTATGGATTTATGAGGGGGATCAGAACTGCCACCATTTCCAAATTCCAGATCACAACTCAAAGGCTCCTACTGCAACTGGCAAGGCTGTGATTCAGACGGATAGTGTCTAATGTTTAAAAAAAAGCTGCACGGCAAAGGCTGATTTTCTTGAACAACCGGAACGATGGAGTGGAGATGGAGTGGCTCGAGGCTGGAACATGACAGCCTTGGGCTGGAACATGGAGCGAGATGTGGCATTGAAATTTCCCAAGAAATCTTTGGGGTGAAGGGTCTAAAAATTGCTATGGCGTGGATTGGTTATGATTGATTGCTCTTACCTCTGACGGAAGGACCATGAAGGACCTATAGCGTGTGCCTTCGATGTGCCTTGATCTTGCCACTTCTTACCTAGTTGGCTGTTTTGTCCTTCGAGACTTTTGGCTTCTCAGGCGGCCATCAAGGGTGAGCTCACAGACAAGAAGAACCAACAAGCGCAGGACACTGGGCTTCAGCATCAACATGAGAGGTGTCCACCTGGACCGCAAGATGGACTCACCAAACAGCGCTTCCGGGCGCGAAATCAGAACCTTGATTTCGAACATGAACCATGACATGCCTGTTTGTCTTGGCAAAATTGATCTCCATTTGTTTATCAAATGTTGTTAGCTTCTTAGCCTGTGGGAGTGGTGGCCTCTACATTTAGATGAAGAATAGGTGATAATAAGTGTTTACCGGCCATCAATATCTGTCTGCATTTGTCTGCGGAGGGACACGGCTGCCACTTTGCAGGAATATAAGCTGAAGAAATGGCGCTTTGAAGGCCGGCAGTCACTTTGATATTGTTTGATATTGTTTGTGCATGTTTGTGCCTTTTTAAATCATTTTTTCTGCACTGCAGCACTGCTTCAATGGGTTTTTTGATGTTTTTTGCTTGTACCCAAAAAACTGCATCAATGAGCAATGCAGCATGGCTTGCCAGGCTTGGATGATAAGGCTGAAGATTGGCTCGACAAGAACAAGGCAAAGCAGCGCAAACACTTGCCCGACGCCAAGTTCAAGAGAGGGAGACCCGTTGTAGACGTGGCAGTCGCAGCCGGAAGAAACCGTGTTTTCGTATGTTTCTGCACGGTGTGCTTGCTTTGAGAGGGACTTTGCAAGAATCATTGACAATGGCCGTGGACGTTCTGTTTCGGACACTGTCGGACAAGCTGTGGACTGTGAACTCAGCACAATTGGTTCTTCCCCAATAATTTCAGCTGGTGGGGAACTTTTTCTTAGTTCACAATGCGATACAAATATCAGATATGCCAATTTCCCATAGAAATATATAGAAATCATAGAAGCCGAAGATGCCGAATGGAAAAAAACGACCCAGTCACTGCTGAGGTACAAGACTGGCGACTTCCCAGATCCTTATCCGCTTCCATCGCCGGAGGAGCTCTGGGCCAAGATGGATCTGTACGGAACCTTAGAAGCCTTAGCTGTCCAGGGATTCCATGAATTTGCTGCCAGAATTCGCTAGCGAGCCCTAAGGATATCTAAGGATTTTTAATTTCTAGTTTGGAGATGAAGGTGAAGTCTACACTGAATTTGCAAGGCATGTAGCAACAACTACCGGCATGTTTGAAGATTTGGGACGGGAAAGGTGGCAGCGCAATTTCAAACCTGGGGGGAAGGGGACCAGTTTTCACCGTACGCACCTACATGGCCTACATGTGGCATCCTGTGGCTGCACACACTGCTAACCAAGAAGCGTACTTTGCAACTGCACCCCTCCGTAGAAGCCGGCTGGTGTAACTTTTGTCTTGTTGTAGCCTCTAATGCATCCGTTCTGCAGTCTCTCTGTGCACGAATGGTTATTCATCAGTCTCTATTAGGGTTCAAAGCCGATTCAGAAACTATCGGCGATTCAGAAATTGCGATTCAGAAACTACGATTCAGAAACTATTTCCACCGATTCAGAAACTATTGCGATTCAGAAACTAACGCGCTTCAGAAACTATGATTCAGAAACTATCGCGATTCAGAAACTATCGCGATTCAGAAACTACCGCGATTCAGAAACTACGCCTCTGAAACTAACGCGATTCAGAAACTATCACGATTCAGAAACTACGATTCAGAAACTTTAGCGATTCAGAAACTACGCTTCAGAAACGATCGCGATGCAGAAACTATCCCGATTCAGAAACTGTGGCGATTCAGAAATCACGATTCAGAAACTATAGAGCGCGATTCAGAAACTATCGCGATTCAGAAACTAAGGCGATTCAGAAACTATGGAGATTCAGAAACTACGATTCAGAAACTATCGCGATTCAGAAACTGTCGCGATTCAGAAACTATGGCTATCCAAATTCCCACCCCCATGGAACTTCACATTGACTTGGACTGTCCACAAGGATAAGATGATATCAAGATTCCCACCCCCGTGGAACTTCACATTGACTTGGACTGTCCACAAGGATAAGATGATCTCAAAATTCCCACCCCCACATTGACTTGAAATGTCCACAAGGATAAGATGATCTCAAAATTCCCACCCCCATGGAAGTTCAAATTGACTTGGACTTTACACAAGGATCAGATGATATCAAAATTCCCACCCCCGTGGAACTTCACATTGATTTGCATTGTCCACAAGGATAAGATGATATCAACAATCCCCACCCCCATGGAACTTCACATTGATTTGGACTGTCCACAAGGATCAGATGATATCAAAATTCCCACCCCCATGGAACTTCACATTGATTTGGAATGTCCAAAGGAAAAGATGATATCACAATTCCCAGCCCCATCGAACTTCAAATTGACTTGGACTTTACACAAGGATCAGATGATATCAAAATTCCCACCCCCATGGAACTTCACATTGGCTTGGAATGTCCATAAGGATCAGATGATATCAAAAATCCCACCCCCGTGGAACTTCACATTGATTTGGACTGTCCACAAGGATCAGATGATATCAAAATTCCCACCCCCATGGAACTTCAAATTGACTTGGATTGTCCACAAGGATGAGATGATATCAAAATTCCCACCCCCGTGGAACTTCACATTGACTTGGACTGTCTGCAAGGATCAGATGATATCCAAATTCCCACCCCCATGGAACTTCACATTGACTTGGACTGTCCACAAGGATAAGATGATATCAAGATTCCCACCCCCGTGGAACTTCACATTGACTTGGACTGTCCACAAGGATAAGATGATCTCAAAATTCCCACCCCCACATTGACTTGGAATGTCCACAAGGATAAGATGATCTCAAAATTCCCACCCCCATGGAACCTCAAATTGACTTGGACTTTACACAAGGATCAGATGATATCAAAATTCCCACCCCCGTGGAACTTCACAGTGATTTGCATTGTCCACAAGGATAAGATGATATCAAAATTCCCACCCCCCATGGAACTTCAAATTGACTTCGGCTTTCCACAAGGATCAGATGATATCAAAATTCCCACCCCCATGGAACTTCAAATTGACTTGGAATGTCCACAAGGAAAAGATGATATCACTATTCCCACCCCCATCGAACTTCAAATTGACTTGGACTTTACACAAGGATCAGATGATATCAAAATTCCCACCCCCATGGAACTTCACATTGGCTTGGAATGTCCACAAGGGTCCGATGATATCAACATTCCCACCCCCATGGAACTTCAAATTGAGTTGGACTTTCCACGAGGATCAGATGATATCAAAATTCCCACCCCCATGGAACTTCAAATTGACTTGGAATGTCCACAAGGAAAAGATGATATCAAAAATCCCACCCCCGTGGAACTTCACATTGACTTGGAATGTCCACAAGGATCAGATGATATCCAAATTCCCGCCCCCATGGAACCTCACATTGACTTGGAATGTCCACAAGTGTCCGATGATATCAACATTCCCACCCCCATGGAACTTCAAATTGACTTAGACTTTCCACAAGGATCAGATGATATCAAAATTCCCACCCCCATGGAACTTCAAATTGACTTAGACTTTCCACAAGGATCAGATGATATCAAAATTCCCACCCCCGTGGAACTTCAAATTGACTTGGAATGTCCACAAGGAAAAGATGATATCAAAATTCCCACCCCCGTGGAACTTCACATTGACTTGGAATGTCCACAAGGATCAGATGATAGCAAAATTCCCACCCCCATGGAACTTCACATTGACTTGGACTGCCCACAAGGATAAGATGATCTCAAAATTCCCACCCCCACATTGACTTGGAATGTCCACAAGGAAAAGATGATATCAAAATTCCCACCCCCGTGGAACTTCACAGTGATTTGCATTGTCCACAAGGATAAGATGATATCAAAATTCCCACCCCCATGGAACTTCATATTGATTTGGAATGTCCACAAGGATCAGATGATATCAAAATTCCATAAAATTCCCAACCCCGTGGAACTTCACATTGATTTGCATTGTCCACAAGGATAAGATGTGTTCGTTTCCGAATCTTTGCCTCGGAATCCGCGCTTTTAGTTTCCGAATCCGCGTGCTGTAGTTTCCGAATCTTAGTGTCCGAATCTGCGTTAGTGTTAGTTTCCGAATCCGCGGTTTTTAGTTTCCGACTCCGCGCTTGGGGTTTCCGAATCCTAGTTTCCGAATCCGCGGTTTTAGTTTCCGAATCACAATTTCCGAATCCGCGTCTGCGTCAGTTTCCGAATCTGCGGTTTTAGTTTCCGAATCTGCGGTTTTAGTTTCCGAATCCACGGTTTTCGTTTCCGAATCTGCGCTTTTAGTTTCCGAATCACAGTTTCCGAATCCCCGTCCTCCATAGTTTCCGAATCCTCTTTTTTTTGTTTCCGAATCTTAGTTTCCGAATCCGTGTCTGTTAGTTTCCGAATCCTAGTTTCCGAATCCTAGTTTTCGAATCCGCGGTGTTAGTTTCCGAATCTTAGTTTCCGAATCCGCGTGCCCGTTAGTTTCCGAATCCGCGGTTCTAGTTTCCGAATCCGCGCGTGACCCTCTATTAGTGTTGAAGGTGGCTTGGAACTTTGAAGGCAGTGGGTCAAAACCCTTGATGCCATTTGAATAGGGGATGTGAACAGCAGGGCAGGGTTTTGAAACCCTACCCAAATGTTTGGAACATTTGGAATCAGTGGTAACATAAATGCACATATGATTCTGATATATCACATTTTTTTACTGGTGAATCAATAAAGAGTGAATACAAGATGGTCATATTCGAGGAATCAACGAAGATCAATGGTGATATAACCATGGAAAACTATGGAACATCACCATTTTTCATGGGAACACTCACTATTTCAATGGCCATTTTCAATAGCTACGTTGGTTTACCAGAGGGATCCAGAGGGGAAATGATTCGGACTCCGAGGCCCCGCTCCACCATCCCTCGACCCCCAGCGAAGAGCAAGCCGCCTCTGCCTGTGGCGATGATGTTCCCTGGACAGGCGCATGCAGCCCCAATGCCATGGTTGTTTCAATACGACCATGTGATGACACATTATGATAATTATGAAGTAACGTTTTTTTTTTCATAATTCGGGGTACCTGGATGTACCTTGGTGAGTCAGCCATGTCAGGACCTTTGGGACCCCATGGGACCCCTTTTTTTGGGAAGTTGAACATCCAAAACTGTGCCATGCTTCAGGGCTCCCAGTACAAGGGCATGCTGCAGAGCTGTTTGGAAATCCCTGCTGTGGAAAAAATGACCCGACCTCAGTGGCCCGATGTGAGATGGTCAAAGTTCACATCCGAAGAGCAGTTTCTGTAGTTATAATTAGACTATAGTAAAAGTCTGTAAAAGCAGTAATAATAATTAATGATAGTCAAAGTCATTATAGTAAATAATATGTAATAATGATATAATGTAAGAGCAACAATAAGGTTCCAATCTTCTCTCCAATGGGGTACTTGATGGTTCTCCCCAGTGAGCACATGGGTTATAACATGTTATAACCCCTCTATGTCTTGGGGATCATCCTGGATCATCGGAATCCAGGATTAGTATGGGAATCCCCGACAGTTTGTGTAGATTTTGTGTATAATCCCAATCATCCCCCCAAAGTTCGCCAGTATCCCGTGAAATTCTCTACGCTGGGAATCCCTAAAAATATTGGGGTTATCCACCTACCCTGGCCACAAAAATGCTGGAGCCGCTGGGAATCCCGTGAAAAAATGTTGGGGTTATCCACCCTGGCCAGCAGCACAAGCCATGAGACTCACAGCAGCTCAACCGAACAGCGTTCAGCACAGGTTGGAGAAGGCTGAACAGATCTTGGGCTGGAGCGCGAAGCAGCTCTGTCTGGAGGGACCTGAAGAACGGTTGAGTGAGACCAAGTACTGCCAGCCCATCATGTTGCTTGGAAGAGAGTTTCCCAGAATGCAAGGTGAAATCCACAAGAAATCCCTATTTTCCATATTTCCTAGGTTTCCTGCAACATTTCCTCTAAACCAATCTATTGAGACTTTGTTGAGTGTGTCAAGAAATCGGGGATTTATGGATAAACGTATAGATATAGCCCAACTAAGAATGTTGACTGGTTTCAGAGAGGAAATGATGTTCTAAACCATGGGAATTTGAAGCGTTCCCAACATTTTCAGACAAATGCTGAAGATGTCCGGGGTTGGGCAAATTTGTGCCCGTGCAGCCCCTTTCAGTGACTTTACGTGGCAGGGCCAAGGTAAACAGCAGCTAAGAGCAAGTAACTAGCGTGCTGAAGAGCAAGTGAACACATATTTTCATGGCTTAGTGCCCACATGTTTTTTTTTTTGCGTCTCAAGAACTTAGACAAGGTCCCCCCTAAACCCAAGTCCCCAAGTCCCAACCTAAAAGGATGTTTATGTACACTTTAATACCTACACCCTGTCACTCCTTGTCCCCAAGTCCCCCCCTAAACCCAAGTCCCCAAGTCCCAACCTAAAAGGTTATGTACACTTTGTGCCTACACCCTGTCTCCTTGTCCCCAAGTCCCGCCCTAACCCCAAGTCCCCAAGTCCCAACCTAAATGGTTGTTTATGTACACTTTAATACCTACACCATGTCTCCTTGTCCCCAAGTCCCGCCCTAAACCCAAGTCCCCAAGTCCCAACCTACACGGTTGTTTATGTACACGTTGATGCCTACACCCTGTCTCCTTGTCCCCAGGTCCCCCCTAAAGCCAAGTCCCCAAGTCCCCAAGTCCCAACCTAAAAGGTTGTTTATGTACACTTTGATACCTACACCATGTCTCCTTGTCCCCAAGTCCCCCCCAACCAAAGTCCCCAAGTCCCAACCTAAATGGTTGTTTATGTACACTTTGATACCTACACCCTGTCTCCTTGTCCCCAAGTCCCGCCCTAAACCCAAGTCCCCAAGTCCCAACCTACACGGTTGTTTATGTACACTTTGATGCCTACACCCTGTCTCCTTGTCCCCAGGTCCCCCCTAAACCCAAGTCCCCAAGTCCCAACCTAAAAGGTTGTTTATGTACACTTTGATACCTACACCATGTCTCCTTGTCCCCAAGTCCCGCCCTAACCCAAGTCCCCAAGTCCCAACCTTAACGGTTGTTTATGTACACTTTGATACCTACACCCTGTCTCCTTGTCACCAAGTCCCCCCCTAAACCCACGTCCCCAAGTCCCAACCTAAATGGCTGTTTATGTACACTTTGATACCTACACCCTGTCACTCCTTGTCCCCAAGTCCCCCCCTAAACCCACGTCCCCAAGTCCCAACCTAAATGGTTGTTTATGTACACTTTGATACCTACACCCTGTCACTCCTTGTCCCCAAGTCCCCCCCTAAACCCAAGTCCCCAAGTCCCAACCTAAAAGGTTGTTTTTGTACATGAAGATAGGTATACATGAATCTGGGTGCAAGTGAGTCGTTTTGATGGGCGCAAGTGAGGCTGGTTCCGAGAGGAAATGATGTTCTAAACCATGGGAATTTTAGGTTTTCCCAACATTTTCAGACAAACGCTGAAGATGTCCGGGGTTGGGCAAATTTCTGCCAAGGTTTATCGCTGGCATGGCGGGAGTCGAGCTCATGAAGCAAACGATGCTTGGCTGGGAAACCGACTGCCAAGTTTAACGGAAAGGACCATGATCACATTTATTTTGAACTGCAACCCAACATTATTACCCTGGAACATCTCTTGACCAGTCTTGACCAATTCAATGTGGTTAATTTCAACAATACAACCCATTTTTTGGGGTTTCTGGCCCCTACCGCCAAAAAAAGTGAAGCATCACCGGGATGGTGTCGGATTTCGTTCAACACATGACTGGTGCCATCAGGAAGCGAGAGACCGTGGAACGTGTCCAGGCCCATCATGGTGCCATCAGCTGTTGTTCCCACAACAACAGCTGTGGATCTGAAGCATTGGTTGGAGCATGTTGGAGCATGTTGAGGCAAAGCCTACTATCGTGGTGAACTAACATAACTATAAATGGCCATTTTCAATAGCTATGTTAAATTACCAGAGGGTACTATTGTGGTGAACCTTTTTTTGAACGGCCAATATGTCAGGGGACCCTATTTTCGACTTTGAACTTGGAAACTTGACAAGAGATGGGTAACCGGCGCATGTTGAGCAAACGTCGCGTTTCGAATTGTTCTTTTCTCGCAAGTGGCATCTAGTGAATCTAGTGGCAAGATTCAGGTCTTGCAGATGGAGCCCACTAACGCCCATCAATTCGCCCAATCTTTGCACAAACTCGTGGCGAAATGGTCATTCCTGTTGAGGCGGTGGCTGGGCTGAGTCTGGGTGAGTACACTGCGCTATGCGCCTTGGACAAAAAAATTATGGGCAAGCCATGGTGCTGGCCATGTTTGATGACCGGGTAAGGCTGCGAACATATTGACCAATGGAAACCAAAACAAACACACATGGGAATAGACCACCGTATGATCTGCGTTTGTCTGAAACTATGCTACCCCCAGATTTGAGGGTTCATCAATGTTACGCACGGAACCGGACGGAACCGGACGTTTGCCCGGAGCCCACGCCTGTCGCACAAAATGATTCTCTTTCTCAACGGACCCTGACGAAGCCTGCAAAGGGTTGTTGCCGAGAGTTGCTGGGAACCAGAAACGTGGCGTTTTACCAAGCAAATCCATCACTATCCCTTCTATATACCTAGATATTAGATATTGTTTTAGGGGGTGGCAGAATTAGAACCTTTATGGATATTGTTTCACAGAGTAAACCCGTTATTATACCTTTCTGCGTATTGTTTTAGGGGGGTGGCAAACTTATAAGCTGTATCTATGTCATTTCACAGATCAAATCCGTTATTAATTATACCCTTCTACATATTGTTTGACCCCAGCTATTTTGATGTTCACCAGGGGTAGAAGGGTTTTGACCCATCTCCATATTTTCCCTCTGAAAATGGTCTTTTCACTTGGGAATGAATCCCCCACAAAGGGTAGCACAGCAGAGGTGCTGCTGGTGTCCTGGAATTTGAGGATGGCGCCTTGTCAGAGCTGAATTCATGGGGGAAACGAGCCCTTTTAATAGGGCCAATAGGGAAACCTATGGTATTTAATTGAAAAACGGATTTAAGAGCTACTTTTGCAATGATTAATTGAATGGTCTGGGTCCTGTGCCAGATTGCACACTGTCCTTTCGAAGCGCTTATTTGTGGAAACCAAGAGACCACACTGAGAAGTGTTGGATCACTCACTGGGTTGATTTAAGGGAGATATTTTGCAGGAAACCCTGCTTTCTGCGGACTTCCCTTTAAATCAATGCTCCGCCACACATCATCGATGAGGAAACTGCAATCCGCCAGTTATGATCTTAAATCTGATGGTTTATCATGGTTTATCCATGTTTATCCCAGCAGATGATTTAGCGATCTCACAAAGCATACAATCCTAACAGATAAATGGCTTGTAAGCCAACCACCTTGGGGATATCATGGTATGATGAGAACATATAGAGGTTTCCTATGTCATGGGGGGTCCCCCAAATCATCCAGGTAGACCATGACTTAGTATTCCAACATTGGTGAGTTGGGGTATCACCCATTTCCAGAAACCTCCATATGGGAAAGAACTCAACCAAACTCCAGTTCCACCTTGCTTACCATTCCCATCCATTCCCGCATTCCCTACTAATTAAGCACCAGTAAGCTTGACATCTGATTCGATTCGTCGATCGGTTCCGAGGTTTGACCTTAGTGAAGTTGCGTGCAGAGGCCATGCAGAAAGCCACTGAGCTGGTGCCGTGGGGACACCTGGCGACCCTTTTTGCGCGCCGGAGGATGTCTGAAAATGGTTAATAAATACCCCAGAAATTGGCTACTTAAATAGGGAATATATATATATACATAGATACACTTGATACATCAACATTTTGGGTATATGATTTTCAGACATATCCACTTAGATATACTTATAAATTGTATTGTAATTGTAGTTGATTTTGCTTTCTATTTTCATCTGTTTGTTTGATGCTGTCCGGATCTCAGTTTAGTGACTTGAGGCAAGCGATGTGCTCAGTGGCGGGCCTTGATCGAAACACTGTGGAGCGATTGTGTCGGGGTCTTGGACAGGTCCAAGCAGTGGCTCTTCCTTTAATGACGAATTCACAACACATATGGGTATGGATCAATACCTATACATACCATTTTTAGTGGGATGAACATCCATTTACCAGCTATTTTGATGTTCACCAGGGGTACAAGGTTTTGACACACTGCCATATAGTTGCTGAACAACCTTATGACTTATGACAATTGGTGGGTGTCCATTCTTTCTGCCGCCTTGAAAGCTGCAGAATGCTGCATAGATGAGAAATGCTTCTGTTGTGGAGGCAAAGAAGCGAAGGAACTCGACACTACCTCATCCACCCCAGTCTGTCAGAAGCCTGGCTGTCGCAACTGGCTGCAGATGTTTGCAGGGTACCACGGTGCACCGTACGCTGCAGCCTGAGGCCAAATTGCGAATGTCCTCTTCCCAGCGGGCTTTACCTGTGGTGGCACCAAGCCAGCGATTGACAAACTCTGCGAGATTGCAACCAAGGCGTGTCATTCCGTGTGCGTTGCTGGATCACCAGAAGGGACCGCAAAATTGTGTCTGTGTGGTCTAGCTTTAGTTTTTCAACGTATTTTTGTTCCAATCATTTTATTTTTCCGTTGATTTCTGGACAAGTTTCTATGATTGGTTCCTCCCATCAATGATTTGTCAGGCTAGGGCACTTCAAGCCAGGCCCATCAAGGCTGTCATGAAGGGCCGCGGGGACTCCATGATCCATGGGATGTGTCAACATTGGGTACAAACCTGAACATTTGGGGTCCTTGTGTCTGAGTGACATGAACGTTGACTAAACAATTGCCTATTTTCATGCCACATTTGCGTGGCCAGTGGTGTACAAAGCCATGCCACTCCTATTGATTGTGACATCCCTACGCGACGTGGCTGATAAAAAAATCCCAAGTGCTGGGATCCAATTTCTCCTGTGGGATGGGCTTCCCACCAAATTACACATGGATTTACAATGAATTACCTATGTTTAATATTGTTTAATATTGTTTAATCATATGTATTAATCATATATTTAAATTATTGTCGATGTAAAGTATCTAAAGGTAATGTAGAGATTGACCATTGCAAAGGCCGCCAGGGTTCCAACATGAGACCCCGCGAAAGTTTTTCCTGAGTTCGCGAAAGTATTTTTTTGTGGGCGAACGATTTAGCGAAATATTTTAACATGAGACCCCCGCGAAAGATACTGTATATGTGGGGTTCGCGAATTATATTTGTTGTTCGCGAAGAATGGCCATTTGCAGATAAAGGAATTTAGATCAACACATACATACAAAGAGAGAGAGAGAGGGAGACAGACGAAAAATTAATAAAAATTATACACACATCATCTGTTTGGTGGTTTCAAACATGTTTCATTCGACACTTCGGGATGATCCAAAGTGACGAGCATATTTGTACCAACCATTCCCAATCGCATCCATGTCTACAAGATGGGGTCCAAAAAAACGAGAGCCAAGCCAACGCTCATAACATGGTGAACTATTGAATCAACTAGGATTTAGATGGATTTAGGGATGTAACATGATGATACATGATGTAACTATGATAGTTTATGGACCATTTATGGATGTTTATGGGGGTTATTAAAATCGCCCCATAACTGGGGTGCTTCCCCTTTTTCCCCGCCAGACGGGCGGTGGTTTCCACACGCCTTTGATGGCTCCGGCTGCGGAGGTGTACCGGTGTGGGAGAGACCGGCTTGTGATGGCCGTTTTAAATAGCAAAATATGGGGATGGGTCAAAACACTGGTACCCTGGGTACCCTAAAATAGCTGGTGAATGGATGTTGATTCCCGAAGATATGGCAATAGTAGGTTTTGACCCATCCCTTATATGGGAAAACTGCCATTTTATGCCATTTTTATAGGGAAACATAAGGGAAACTTACAACTCAACTAAGTGGATTTCTGGATGCGCTATTTTCAGAGAAAGTCTATGGGGGATCGACCGAAGAGCTGATTATTGGTCTATTGGTCTACCCATATTGTCAATGACATGATACCGATGCATGTCTAAGTCATTACGTAAGAAAGGTAATGGAACTCCATGGGTAAATCTACCCGACTCACAATACTGTATTGGCGAATGGTCCCATTGGTATATTTTGTTCTGAAGAAATCAACCAAGAACTGAGTGGCTGGTAGTCTTTTGGTGGGTAAACCCAAAACAATAAACTCCTTTTTGGGGATGGGTTAAATACACCACCTGGTAAAATTGGATCAATGGGACACTCTTTATTATTAAGCACCCTATTGGGTTGATGTTGAGCCAAACTGCTATGGAATGAATCACGGCAAACACACTGATTTCTATGTCTTTCCAGTATACGTGTTCTATGATTTCTCTCTTTCTGCGGGTTGCCCCAGTTACAAAGTTGTTGACATTTTTCACTACCACTGGATTTTTGTTGCCGAAAACCATATCTGTTGCGGCTCCAGAACCGGGGATTGCCATCCAGGAATTGACCAAAGCCATCGATGCGACGTTGCCCAAGATGAAGCCTCCCAGGCCCTGTAGGATTCGCTGATGATTCCAGAGATTTCGCTGCCTTAAATTCTTGGAGACACTTTGTACTGCCACCAAAACATGAATTTTACCTCAACTCCCATCCCTGAAATTCAAATGAAGTATATAAATTCTGAAGATGGTATCTTAAGGCCCTTTTTTTCAGACCCCCAGGTTATGTGTACATGGCCAAGATCTGCCAATCGCAACACTAGTCCGAATGCTTAGCATATGTTAGCATCATTAACTCATCAACAGCAAACATTTGCCACATTTGTCAGTGGCTTTTTTCGCCGATTCGCTGCGATTTGGGCACCTCCAAAGTGGATCCGCCAGGTGTGCCGTCTACTTCAATCTGACAGGTAAGAAGATGCCACCAGGTGCACAGGGCCACTGCCACTACTAGCTACAACTGCTGCTACTGCTACTGCTATACTGGCTGTATTGCAACTAGTAGTACTTCACAATAATGAATAGTGGTATTAACAATATGAATGGTAATAATAATGATAATTTATAACACCAAATAGTAATAATAGGGATAATGATAACATATGATAACATAGAGTTCTTTGATTCTGGCATGTTCTTTGGAATCGGACAACCAGTTGGGAGAACCCAGTTTCTCCTGTTTTTTTGCTGTGGAGTGTGAGGTTCAAAGCCTGCAGAGTTCGTGGACTACATGAAGAAGTTGGGGCCCAGGGAATCTGGGAATCCCACGGGAGGAACACCCTTAGAACGCGACTGGTGTTTCGATGTGTAAACCAGTGGTAGCTCTTTCGGTAAATAAAAGGGAAACTCCATTTTAAACATGTTTAAACCAAAGTCACTCTGCTACAGTTAGAGAACATTATGTCATATTATGTCCCCAAAAAGGATTTGGAAGATCTCAAGGAAATAACACCATCCAAGGCTAATATAAGGAATCGAGACCTGGGACGTGGCAGTCATTCCAGCACTGAACCAGCTGTACGTTCGGGTGGTGTAGGGAATTAACATGCCAGGATGCCAGGCATATTCTATGATGTATACGTGTTGTACAGCAAGAAATAGGTGTTAGTCTAACTACTAAAAATTACTTTACTTCGTGTGATCCCCACCATGACATTTATACATTTTCTTACTGGCAAATCTTCTGGCATTCTATCTGACATATTTTCTGGCATTCGATCTGGCATATCTTCTGGCATTCTACCTGGCATATCTTTTGGCAGATGTTCTGGCATTTCTTCTGGCATTCCATCTAGCATTCTATCTGGCATATCTTCTGGCATTCTGCCTGGCATATGTTCTGGCATATCTTCTGGCATTCCATCTGGCATTCTATCTGGTATATCTTCTGGCATATTATTTGGCAAATCTTCTGGCATTCTACCTGGCAAACGTTCTGGCACTTTATCTGGCATATCTTCTGGCATTCTATCTGACATTTTATCTGGCATTCTATCTGGCATACCTTCTGGCATTCTATCTGGCAGATCTTCTAACGTTCTATCTGGCATATCTTCTGGCATTCTATCTGGCATATCTTATGGCATTTTATCTGGCATATCTTCTGGCATTCCATCTGACATTCTATCTGGCATATCTTCTGGCATTCTATCTGGCCGTTGAGGTCCAGCGGTGCACACTGAGCTGGGCAGGTCCCAGGTTGAGGCCCAGCGGTGCACACTGAGCTGGGAAGGTCCCAGGTTGAGGTCCAGCCGTGCACACTGAGCTGGGCAGGTCCCAGGTTGAGGCCCAGCGGTGCACACTGAGCTGGGAAGGTCCCAGGTTGAGGTCCAACGGTGCACACTGAGCTGGGCAGGTCCCAGGTTGAGGTCCAGCGGTGCCCACTGTGCTCGGAAGTTGGCGAAGAGCTTGGCGAAGAGTTGGCAAGGCGGAAGTGAAGGTAGAAGTTGATGGTCGAGGAGAAACTGGAGGAGGAAGAGGAGGAGGCGGAGGAGGAGAAGGAGGAGGAGAGCTAGCCGAGGAGGAAGAGGAGGAGAACAACTGTGATAAAATCTAACAACCCTCACCTGGCAGGTGGGGAATATGGTAATTAGCCCAAAATCCAGCGATTTATCAGAGAACATATATACCATTAAAGTTGCATAAAGTTGCCATTTTGGGGTAGGCAAAAGGCGCATGGATGCAATGGTTAAAAAAATAACGCCACTAATTTTCTATATCATTTTTTGGATCCACAGTTCGAACATGGCTAAACTTCTTTGTAGCTTTTGTTCATGGCAATACCATCCTGACCCCTTATCCCAGATGCTCCTTGTATGGAATATTTACCTACATTTGTGCCATTTTTGGGGTAAATGTAGGTACTGTAAATATTCCAGCACCATGGAGCATCTGGGTATGGCAAGGATCTCCTTTCGTAGTAGTACCACCTTGTTACCATGGCCGCACGTTTTTTTGGCACGTGCACCTGTGGAGGCAACTGACCGGCGAAGTCTTGTGGGAACAGACAATAAGACAGATGGTCTTCGATGGGGTTGCCCGGCTCAGAAACCCGCAACATGAGGAAACATGTTGCTAGAGGTTGGACGAGGCATCTTCATTGTCGCATAATTTTTGGATCATCTGCTTCATTTTGATATTTAATTTGACAACCATCACTCACAGATCACCATCACCATCACACCTATCATCTCCAAGGTGAAGGACTTCTACGAAGTCGGCCCGTTAAAGCAGCTGAAGTCAATGATTAAGAGGAGAAGCGGACGATTTTCTGTGGATGTTTTCTTGCGATTGATGTGGCTTTGGTACTTCAAAATGGGGCGAACGGCATACCCTTTCATTTACAGAATGGCAGGCCACCAGAATGCAGTTTTACCATAAAAATAACGCTATAATTCAGGAGGCAATGCACTCTGATGCACCTGCCCTTCTGAAATTTTCATGGTTCTAATGGATTTGAATAGACACAGCTGCCAAATGCCTGGGGGCACTGTCATTTATTTATGTCCGTTTTAATGGGGACAATGATAATCCATTTGAATTGGGGGTACTCTATTTTTAGATTTTCAGACAAACCCGGTGCCCTGAATTTCAAGTACTGTACCAGCTGCAGTAGGACCAACACGTGGACCACACAAGCTCTGGCACAGGATAGATCAAGACGCCTTCAAGCGGACTGAAAACATTGCGGTCTGAGTGCAGGAGAATCGCGTATCTTCCACTTTGGCATTTACAGACACCGGATGATCATAGCATAGCCAGACATAGCGAGGGAATAATTATGACACACGGAAGATAATAGACTTGACAGACTTGACAAATGGGACAGCTTTGGCTGATGGCCATGCCACATGACCAGCAACATAGGGCATCAAGACCAGACAAAGCTTGAGATTTGTAGATCACACTGTTAGAGCGCCTCGACTCCTCGGTGGAAAACATAGAAACCAAGTTGCCGGATGGGATTTTTGGAGTAAAGACATTGCCCAAAATGTTCGTGTCGTAATTTAATGGTGAGCTACAAACCCAGATTAATCAGACACGTTTTCAAAAAGTTGCTTCTGTGGAGATAAGCTCCCATGTCCCCTCCTGTATGGAACGCGATGAGACTGTTCAATTGCACCGGATATATGGCCTCAGCTTTTTTTTTCTCCTCCAAGTCACTTCCCTCATGACAGCAGTTCGTTGAACTTTTGTTGCTGTGAGAAGGATGTCATTCAAAAAGGAGAAACATGAGCACTCATCATCAAGAAACAACCAACTCATTATAACATATTATAATATATTAGAACATGTGTAAATATGTATGCAGGAAATATGTATGTAAACGCATACCACTTCCTCAACATGCTGCAGTCACAGTGACATTTTCGTGAGCACAACTTGTTTTTTTCTGCGGCATGCTTGAGCCCTTTGCCGCCTTTGCCTTGGAGCTGGACAGGCTGGTGCCTGCGACTGGTCGATGCCCGCAAGGGCGGCCACGGCGGCCACGGGATCGACGGGATCCACGGGATCTACGGGCGCCTTGGGCGGCACCCTGCGATGCCATCGGACGCATCGGACGCTGCTCCGCGGTGATGGCGGCATCCCTGGCGTACACGACGAAGGGGCGTCGGAAGCACGGACAAAGGGGTCGAAGTGGACTCGTTGGACGCCAAAGTTTCTTGGAGCAGAAATGGGAATGGATCAATACCTATTAATTAATACCATAAAATTAGGGGGTTATTCACATCCATTTTAACCCAGCTATTTTGATGTGAACAAAAAAGGGGTACTAAATTGGTTTTGACACACGTGGCCAAATCAAAAAGGGCAGCTGTATTGGATGGCGGATTAATGTTTGTGTGTTGGTTGTTTGTGACTCCCATCCCTTTCTTTAGTCGATGACTTTCATCGAACAGATTGGAAAACAAACTGTTAAACATGTTGTGCTATCATTCTCACTTCACAAGTAACTTGGCATTCTGAGTGAATCTACCCAAGTTCAGTAGTTTGTACATGCTGGATCATGTTTGTACTTATCACAGTACCTTCTGGTAAACTTACATAGCTACGGGTAATTCTATAAATCTGCCATTTTTAATAGCAAACTGTTAGTTGACTGGAGGCTAAAGTCCTATTTTCCAGTTCCCCATATCATCTCCCGCAGGTTTTCCATGGCTCTCCGGTGGCTTCAAGGGAGGCGAAGATACCTCTGCCTCCCGCTGGTGGCGTACGCATCCACGTGCCGGGGACCTCCTGATTGGTTGGGTGACTTGAAGATGTTGGCTGTCGGGAGATCGGGGCATTCTGAGGACGATACTGGGAGATTGATGAATTGATTCAGGGAAAAGGAAGGCAACTGATTTCTGCATGTGTCTTTCTTTTTTCAAAAAACTCGTTGCTCAAAAGGTTTTCAGATTCCCAAGACGTTTTTGAACGGCGGGGCACGAGGCTTTTGCACCTGTCTTGTGTGTTGCAGTCAACTGTTGGAGACCTGGAAAAGATCTCCCTGGTTTAGCAGACACCTTAGGGCCTTCATCATGCTGCACCTGACATTTCGAAATGGACATCGAATATTTGGATGTCAGATGATGTCAGCCTGAGGTGATGCATCCCAACTTGACGAAAGGAAACAAACTGGATCTTGAAGTCGACTTCAGCACAAGTACAGGCCGAGTTGCACCGTTTACGCGCACCTCGATGTTGGAGGAAAACCTGTTGAATGACTTAGTTTGGTCCAAGATTCCGTTTGAGTTTAACAGTTTAACCCCAAATGGGGTATACTGTATACCCATGTATACCCCAAATCCACTGGCCATGAAATGGTGGTCTGCCCCAGTTTCAAAACCATTCAAAACCCTTTGCTCTCAAGATTCTCCCAGGTGTTTTGGATGGAAAAACGCCCTGCTTCAGGCGGAATTTGGCGCTCAAGAGCTTTGTCCTTTCAAGGTAAGTTCCACTCCATGGTGCAGGAGCCTCATGTGGATTGGAGGGTTCCATATGGCTTTGTCTGGAAACAGGGTACCCCATTCCAACCCCGGGTTGATGATCATTTTCCCACGTTTTCCGTTTCTCTATTGAAAAATAGCCACAAAAATGGAGAGGGGGGTTATACCTCCCACTTTCTCAGACACCACGCACCACACCCAAATTAAATTGGATATACATAGTTAATATGTGTGTAATTGTGTGTATATATATATATAATACATATATAATATGTTAGTGAAACTATATAGTGAGCTAATGTGAGTTAGAGATTATCCAGAACCAGTCCAGAACATCCCCAGGAATATCCCGTGGAATCCACGTGTTTTTTAACCGCGGCTCCAGGACGCCAAGCTCACCCTCCAGGATGACATGACGGTGTTGATCGGCCGCATGGAGCACGAGACCTCCCTGGGAATCGAAGGCGCCACAGCCGGGATGGCAACTGACACATACTGATGGGATGATCATTGGGAAAATGGTGGGTTATATATATATATATATGGGACTAGTTGGAGACCTGTGTTTATCCATGTTTATCCTGAACACCAACTATGTGTACAGGAAAAAAGGGAATGCAGCGCCAAAAGCCAGCGTTTCACTGCTACTGACATGATCCTGGAACGCGCAGTAGCGTGAATCTCTCAGGCACAGTCATCTATGAACGAAAAGAAGGAGGCAGGTTTATCTTGCAGCCTTTACCAGAGTGTTACCTCGAATCTTGACTGATCTGGGTTTGATCCGGTTCAACGGTTGACTTTCCTGGACCTGGCCGAACTCGCCTAGCCCTGCGCTAAGGAGTGGTGGGCTCAGCTGAAAGCCAAGCTGAGCCCGGAAGAACCTCCCGGTTTGATCGTCCTGAGCGATGATGGCTCCTTTTCAGGCGATTCACCGGAGGACCTGACCAACCTCTGACCTCTTTGCACTCCGAGTGGTGATTTTGGGTGTCCCGCTGCAGTGGTTGAGGTATGTTGAGGTACTTTGAGACTCTGAGGTTAACCTCCTGCCGCATTCAAACATGGCAAATCGAACATCCACTAACACTATGAATATGGAGGTCTTGGTGGGAAAATCGATTATATGATGTACATGGTATTGTAGATGTTTAATTTCCAAGTTTGGTTACCAGGGGGTTTGATTCCGTCAAAGGTTGCTATCTCATGAAAATGGAACTTTCGAGTACAGATGTTGCCCGCCTCCTGCAGGTCAACATCACGAAGGTTTGCTCTTGAACCTCATACGAACGTTTGGTGTTACCCTCTGGTAAACAAACATAGCTATTGAAAATGGCCATTTATAGTGGATTCACCCATTGAAAATTGTGCTTTTCCATAGTTATGTTAGTTTACCAGAGGGTATAGCATGTTTCACCTTGTGTGACAGAACACACCATTGCTTCAATCTCTACTTTTCCCAGCTGGACTCCGAAGTGGCAATTCCTCCACCGAGCTGTCAATAGTCAGCAAACAAGGTACAAGCAGACTATAATAGACTATTATAATATATTACAATATACTATACGTTATATATTATATTGATATTGTATATTGATGTATATTGTATATTGTATATTGTATACATATATACATACAATCATACACACACACACACTATTTTCTTGCAATATCTTGAAATTGCCCAGGTGTATTAGCGCTATATCATGGTATATCTATAATTAATACATAACATACATAACTTCACCTGATCCTCAGCCATTGTGAAAATGCCTGCGGCCTTTAGCGCAGGACTCCAGTGACTATCCAGACATCACATCCCCGGAGCAGCTGCGGAAGTTTCTGCTCCGCAAGATCACCGGGCAATCGAGGTGCGCGTTCAACGTGGCTTCTTTCCCCATGGCAAAACCAGGAAAACCATGGAAAACCCAAAATACTTCTGCAGGACGTGTGATCCTGTTCTATATACTTTATCATACTTTATCTGGTTTGGGGGTACAGTTTGATAGGTGACATCTGCGTCGGATTTGTCTGAGAATTTCGGGGGAACCAAAAATACACATTTCATGCCATGGTTCTGAACCAGATTTTATGATACTTTATCATACTTTATCCAATTCAAGTTGCACAGGCCAGAACTTTTTTTTTATCCCCCCCAATAACTTGAGTCTAGCATCCCCAACATCCAACTTGCCTGGTCGAGGCCTTCAGGCAATGGAAGCAAGATGACCCGACGACAAGAGATCCTCGGGAAATTCACACTTCGACCCGATGAGGTGAAAACCTACTTGGTTCCTTGGGACTGAGGTTCACTTCCGGTTGATTGAGGGACTACATGGCCAGAATATGCCATACTTATAGATCTTATAGGGGTTATAATATACATTTCTCACAACTTTTTTAGGGTTGTTAGTTATTACTACCATTCACAAGCATTGGCAAAACGGCAACAGTCTGAGCGACACTGGATTGCGACCACTAGAACTTCAGGAAACAGCAGTGGACGAAGTTGGTTTTCCAAATAGTCCGTGTTTGTTCCCAATTATTCTTGATATGAAATGCAGTTTCTTGACACGTGAATCACAGTATTTTCCATATTTTTCCATGGCCACTGAGGATCGTTATGTTATTTGCCAAGATGCTGCAAAAGAGATGTTGTCCGTGGCAATTTGTGATCACTACAATCGAGCCAAGGAGAACACACCAGTGTTGCTGGGAGCTGGCCGTTGACGGGTCAAAATCTTTTGTGAAACAACTGAGATTACTGGAGCCATGAACCACTTGAACCTTATTCCACCAGCTGGAGGTTTCATGTACGTAGACCAGTATACATTATAAATACACTATATATATATGATATGTTTGATTGATATGATATGTTTGATCGTCCATCCAACAAAGGGGATGATGATTCCCATTAACGAGCCTTTTTGATGCAGGAAGAGCTGCAGATCGACCTGGATTCCTCATCCTCCACGAAGGTGAGAAACCTTTTTTGCTGACGAAATGGAAGATCCCCAGTTTCAAGATTCTAGATATAAATCAGCCAGAAATGGATTATATTATGAAAATTATATATATATATATATGCATTCATATGTATATATATGATAACTATGTATATATATAATATGTGATATGTGTATGAATATGGAACATGTTGGGAGTTTCAAGGGCCAAGGGACAAATCTTGGTCCCTTCGAGGCGAAGATGCTCAGCGAGTCAGGCGAGACCAAAGAGTCCAAAGAGGTCAAGGAGACAGCAGAGCTCCTTGACTCAGCATTTTCTGACCATTTGAATTTTCATAGAATTGGATGATGGGAAAATTTACAGGAAAGCCCTATATTTGATGGTAAAAACCATGATTTTCCCTTAAACCAATCCATTTGAATTTGAACTTTTGATGACTTTTCCGACAATACAATCAATTTGAATGAATTGATTATGTCAAGTTTTTAGAAAACCAAAAAGACTCACCACTTCTAGTTTTTGGCAAAAGGTTGACTGACCACTTGTAAATGTTGATAAGTGACCATCCGAATTCGAACTGGGCCCACGCATGCCCATCCACGGGGTCCACCGGGAGGCCCTCCATTTTTTGGAAACTTATGATCAGCCAGTGGTGGCTTGGTGCTAAGGGACAAGACAAAGCCTGAGAAGGCCAAAGATGGAGATGCGCAAACAGCGGGTGAAGGCCCGGTTGCTGTAGGGTTGGGCTAAAAATGCCGATGCTCAAGAAATGGTCATTTGCATGACTTGAAAGAGATTTTACAGCTTCTGAGCATTCTTGCAATTTTTTATGTACCAATTGCAATGACAGATATCGAGAGTTGTAGGTACTCCTCAGGAGTGGATTTGGAATGTCGGGGAGTTGCCCGTTTGTCGCACCAGTGTCATGGAACTTGTGATGTGTCGATAGGAGAGTCCACCACCATGGTCAATTCTGAAGGGAATGACGCAGAGTCGACCGAAGTCCAGTTTACAGATACGGACGAGGATGCTACTCGGCAGCGTATCTCTTGGCTTCCAAATCAGGCCCAGAGGAGGGAAATGTTGGAGAACCATTGTGGGAAACCATGTCATAGTTCAAGTCCATTGTGCGCGTTGGCACTCGTTTGCACGTATTTGCACTAATCATGTATTTTCAATGTATTGAACCTGTTTCTTCTTTTGGCAAGCTGTGAGGTTTGATGGCAATATTCTGATCTGAGGTGATTTTGCTGAAGTTGAACGGTGACAAAGTGGTGGAATACGTCAACGGCGAGTTGGACATGGAAGAAGTGAAACGCTTTGACATTGATTTGAATGAGAGGAATCTTGTCATTGAAGAGAAATCGCGACCAACAAATGCTGGGTGTAGACTGACTGAGCATCTCATTTACTTACATCTACGTGCCGACAACATTTCAAAATGTAAACACATCCCTTACTCTCCGTTTTGCAAGATAGCCTGGATCAAAACCAAGCACTCTTCCATATCTTCCAGTGTCATTTCCTTTTTTTCTGCACCTTTTTGTGATCCAATGGATCACCCCAGTGCCTCCATCGGCATCGAGGAAGTACCACGATGAGTCCGGGTCGGGGCACTTCAAAGACGACGCCGACGTTTCGGCGCTGCAGCGTCGTATCCAGGCGCTCTTCGCGCGCGCGAAGATGCAAATGCTGAAGCCAAAGCGGGCCACGCGCTTGGATTCGGAGGGGTTTTTGGAGGGTTTTCGGTGAAGGTGGGCCAGGTGGGCATCTGAAAATGTGGGATTTCCATGGATTTAACATGATTTAACTGATTTGGACACCCCATTAGAGGAATTTTGATAATTTTGTGATACTTTTGAATATTTAATGGGGAACATGATGATTTAAAGCATTGGATTTTTGGGGTAGCTGATTTTCAGATAAACCATGAGCTTTCCACGACCTCACTCCGAAAATGGCCTCAGATTAGTGAATGATTGGAAATGAACCAAAAGCAAGGATATAAAGCTGACCATTTCATATAGTTCATGATATTTCATGGGAATATATAATAGAATATAATAGATAGTGGATGGTAGTGGTACAAGCAACAACATGATACCTTTTTTTGGGGGGGCTTGTCCAAACATTGGGTTTACCATCAATGTTGAATTGGAAATAGAATTTTCAAATCTGTTGAAATTGCGCAGTGGCGTGTGAATAATGCTGGTCGAGGTGAAGAACTACACGAAACCGAACATTCTGTTGCTTGGGCCTACTGGAAGTGGCAAGACATACTTGCTCAGAAATCTTGCAGCCACTTGGAACAAAGAAGTCGCGGATGAATAAAGATGTGGTAAAGCCCTGGGCTGTTTGGTTGGGGTGGGTCCATTTTAGTAGCCAATTGGCGCTAGGGGGGAACCCCCTATTGAATCAACCAGGGTTTATCGATCCGGGGACATCAATTCCGTTGCCACAACCAGCCATCCGCCGACGGTCGCCTGTTTGAAACGGGCCATGACCTGCCCAGGATTTGATTGGCGTCCCCTTCGTCAAAGCAGATGTTGGCAGCTGAGAAGCCTCGAGATGATCAGCTGAATGGGGAGATTTGTCAGTATTTTGGACAACCACAACCTTGGGCCAAACTGTGCAAAACTGTAGTTGTACTTATAATGATACAACATCTCAGACCTAGCAGCATGAAACACATTTTCGAGAGCTTCAAGTGCTTCTTGAGAGTGGCTTCCCCATCTCTTGTAATTCCTTGCACTGCGTCCACAACTTCTAAGGCCACCAAGTTCACAGAGACTGGATATGTTGGTCGTGATGCTGACGAGGCCAGCGGTTGACCAGCTGTTCATCAGAAATTGCTGGTACCCTCCTGGGAATCAACTGGGGTGGAAAATCCCTTGGCAAATGGAGGTTTTTAGCTGGGAACATCATTGCATAAATGGATATAAATGGTGGATTTTCGGGTCAATCCCACATTTTTTTCTTGCATCATCCCGAGAAACAGGTTCGAAATTTTATCATGGATTAAATCCATATTATGTTTGGTTATACCATCATTTTTATGGTTATATGATGATCTCCCTTTTCTTTGGGACGGTGTATTACTATTGGGTTTGCCTGATGCATCGTGGTCATTTCATGTCATTTCTAGATTATCTCCCGATGTTTTATGCTCAAACGCGAAAAAACGACCTTCTTGATGGTGTTTCATCCCAAACACCAATCAACCATCATCATCAACCAACCACTACTGAAATTCATAAAATTGTTTTTCTATATCGTAACCACTACTAACTACCCAATCAACCATCAACCATTAACCAATCAGCCAGTCATCCTGAGGTCATGGGAGAATTGCTCCAAGCAGCTGATGGAGACGTTGAGCTTGCCCAGGTGCCGCACGTAAAATCGCAGAATGGCTGGCGAAGTGAAACGGGGCGAAGACGACTTAGAAAAAACTGATCTGGATATGACTCATACTCATATATTCACCCCGCTTCGCGTGGGGTGGCCGCCCACACCGCAGGTTTATTTCGGTCCGTGAGAGGGGCTAAGGGTGGTTTTCCCCTGTGGGGGGTCCCCAAGCTAAGAATTTTCACTTTCCCCCCCCGTGGGGGCTCCCCAAGCTAGGGAATTTTCACTTTTCCCCCCCGTGGGGGCTCCCCAAGCTAGGGAATTTTCACTTTTCCCCCCCGTGGGGGCTCCCCAAGCTAGGGAATTTTCACTTTTCCCCCCGTGGGGGCTCCCCAAGCTAGGGAATTTTCACTTTTCCCCCCCGTGGGGGCTTCCCAAGCTAGGGAATTTTCACTTTTCCCCCCGTGAAGCTTAGGGAATTTTCACTTTTCCCCCCCGTGGGGGCTTCCCAAGCTAGGGAATTTTCACTTTTCCCCGCCGTGACAGCTTCCCAAGCTATGGAATTTTCACTTTTCCCTCCCTTGGAGGCTCTCCAAGCTGCGGAATTTCAAATAGCTAGACAACGACGCCTAGATAGTCCCCCAAATCCCGTGTTCTTTGAATGTGTTTCCATGTTTTTGCAATGGTTTCCTTCAAAGCACGGTACTTTACACTTTTGTCGCCATAAAACCGGTCGAAAACATCATGTTCGACAATGCTTCCAATTCCCTTATCTCCCCAACCGTTGAAAATACCGCTATTTACAGTGTTTTCTTCAATTTTTCCATGTTCCAATGCCGGTAGCCAACTCCAACATATATATAAGAAATCCTTCCAAAACATTGTTTTTGACAGTGTTTTTCCAATGTTTCCAGTCAAACAGACGGTAATTTACACGTTTTTTGCCATAAAGGCAGTAAATCCTTCCAAAACATTGCTTTTGACAGTGTTTTTGTAATGTTTCCAGTCAAGCATACGGTAATTTACACGTTTTTTGCTATAACGTCAGTCCAAAACACTTGTTTTTGCAGTGTTTTCAATGCTCTGGCATCCAAAAACCCTGCAAAATCTTGCTATGTACAATGTTTTTTTCATTTTTGGCCGTTTTTCCATTGCCGGAAAGCTACCAAAATGACCCACAATTCCATTTCAATACCCTCTTGCGCTCAGACACCCAAAAATCATCGAAAAATGTCGAAAACACCACCGTATTCTGGTCTCGGTGCGAAACCGTTTTTGCCCCCCCCCCAGCTAAAGCTGATATAGCGACTGCTATATTAACAAATGTCATTGAGCATTTAGTGTTGCTGTTGCCCCCCAATAAGCACGCCTTCACCGCCAAAGCGGTGTGGGCGGATTTCAAGTATAGATATAAAATGTGATTGTGAACATGAATTAGAAATAATTAGAATACGTAAGATTGATTGAATTCATTTTAATATGCATATGAAGTAACCTGAGTTTGAATATGAATATAAATTGTACATATGAATGTACATGTGAATGTGAATGTGCATGTGAAATGACATTACGTGATGACCATGACAATCAGATGAGGGACACCATGCTTTTGGCATATTGGTTTCATCCAAAATGTGGTGCCTTCGAACCTGAAGATGTTGGTAAAATCAGATCCTGGACGCTCGGGAGGTCGGCATTGTCTATGTAGACGAGATCGACAAGGTTTGCTCTGAGGGAGAAGGACGAAGCTCTTCGTTCAGGTTTCTGATCTGATTTTTGCCGGGGGGACAACGGTTGGGGCAACGGTTGGGATGTTTGTCACTGTCCCCAAAATACAATGGTTGTTTGGACAGTGGCCAATGGTTGTTAGTTGTTGGTAGCGATCCTTCTGATGGCTGGGTGACGTTTCTAATTTGGGACAGGCAGCGCCGAATTGTACTGGGTACATCTGGGTACCATACATGATACGGCTGATAAGGTCCGATGTCTCAGAGTCTCTGGGTGTGCTGGATTCAAAAATTGTTTTCAATTTTATGATATTCCTGGTTTTGAGAGCTGAGTCAGACTGAGTCAGAAGCTGCAGATACCCTGGTATCCATTTTTTTGTTTGAAGAGTCCATAAGGGACCGCTTGCGGCACCGCCAGGCAAGCAACCCAAAGTACCTTCCTCAAGTTGATGGAGGTCACCCTATGCCAGCAGATTTTTTGATGTCCCGGTGACCTGGTAGATACCCTCTGGTAATGACTAAGACTTCGCATTTTTAAAAATGGCCATAGAAATAGTGTGAAATAGTTGATGTAGCCATTAAAATCCATGAAACATGGTGATTTTCCACTTCGCAACCTGTTCGTTGACCAAAGGTGGCCCGTAAAATTTCCGTTTCCGTAGCGCCGGGATGAAAAAACGACCCGCGCAGGACACGGAAGTCACGGTGGGTTCGCCTGGGCCACGGATGATGCTGGGAGCCTTGGGTGGAGACAAAGGACAGAAGATGTCAACCAGGCCACACCTGGGCGGTCAGCTGCTGTTGGCTCCCTGTAGTATGTTTGGCCTTGCCCTATATAAATGTACGTATGTGTATATATATATATGTATGTATATTTGTATATTATTTGTATATGTATATAATAAGTTGTATATATATATATATCTAAATATTAAATTCTATGCATGTATATGTACATATAGATATAAATATGTGTATGTATATAGATATATAATGCTATCTAGATATTATATATACATATATATATACATACACATTGTATTTTCGAATTGTCTTGGGTCATGTTGATGGAATCCGCGCAGGCATGTCCTGTTCGTCTTCTCCGGAGCCTTCAGCAAACTTGATGAGAAGCTGAAAGAGGACAACTGGTTGAGCAGTCTGGGTGCACACAAAAAATCCGATGGACATGAAACATGGTCATTTCCAATCAGAGAGGATCGTCTGGGGCCTCATTCTTTTTTGGGGTTCCATGTGGTGGCGGTGGGGGTGGACCCAAAACTATCTATGGGGGTAGTCATGCAATTCATGGATGGCTGGAGAGACCACCAAGCAGGCAGGATTCGGGGAGATGCCTAAAACGGCGGCACTGTTGACATGTTGGACATGTTGATGGTTGAAGAACACTGTCAAGATTCAGACTGGTTCAACTTACAAAGGCGGTGGCTGGAGTCAGAAAGAGCTTAATCTTGATTTTGTATCTGAGATTTCCTTGAGTTGTGATCCTAAGCGGCACGGCGTTCGTGCTCTATCACTGAGTGAATGACGAGTAATGCGTAAAATAACGAGTGCAAAGACAAACTATAAACAATCTTCAAAGGTCACCTAGCGTTTCAGTGTAGCGAATTACTATATAATTATGTACATATACATATATCATGATACATATGTATATATATATATATGATAATACATCACACACACATATATATATAATAATAATAGTAATAATAATAGTAATTATAATAATAATAGCATTAATAATCATAATAATAATAGTAATAATAATAGTAATAATAATAATATTAATAATAATAATAATATATATATATATATATATTATACATCACCCACATACACCAATCAATAGCCGGTACATCTCCATGTTGTATCTACTCCCATTCTTGATGGCTTTTGGTGATCTCACTCGCAGGAGCACAAGCGCAACATGAAAGGCTTCGGCTTCGCCAAGGGCGACGTTTCCGCCGACGAGACGGAGCCTGAAGATGTGCAGTCGATGCTCCACAAGGTCCGAATCGGGGATAGGAACACCTTGAAGGAGTTGATGAGGATATAGATGTAGGATAGGAGCTAGAATGGGATATGTTCGTAAAAGAAAATAAAGTTTTCTGCATGACAAAACGTAAGGTGCCACTGTCGGGCCATTTTGGCTCAAGATGGACAGTGGCACCATGTATCAAATGTTACTTTGAAATGGTTGCTACTGCCAGGGATTGTCAATGTTCCCGGCATATGGCGTTGCAATGCAGATGCAATCGCTGGCGGACATTCGAGCGCACTACATGCTGGACGATGTGGTGTGGAACTCGTTTGTGGAGTGCGCCGGGACCCGGGGCAAGACATCAGACTCCTCGCGGTGCTGCCTCCAACGGTTCTTTCAGCATCGCTGTAATGTGCAGTACTACCCGATGGTTCCAGTCTGACAGCCATTCAAGCAGCCCATGTGGGATTAGTATACAACCTGGCGAGGAGAATTCTTCATGTAAGAGATGGAGGGGCCTGGGAAGCATGGACGGAGGAAAACCCTATTGGAGACCAAGGCCCTCCCCAAACTATGGCACCTAACTTCCACGACGGGGCCAGCTTCAATGGAAAGGAAACTCAAGGTTTCTCAAGTCCTAGACCAAGGAGACGATGGGGAGTTCTACGTGGAGTCAGAGGACACCAGGGCTATGTGGGTGGAGAGATACCGCCAAGCTACAGGTGGCCTACCTCCTGCATGGGGAAGAAGAACCGAGCTTGGAACAGCTGAGCGCTTTGGCACGAAGGATCAAAACCCAGGACACAGCCCCTTACATGGATTTTGGGTTTTTTGTTCCCTATCACTGAGGGCAAGCAAATACCGCACCTTCGTCTTATCACCAGACGGGTACACCGCAAAAGAGTTGCCAGGGTCTTCAAACTTCGTCCAGTGGAGGGCATGCTTCAGAGTGTTGAGATCGGCCCTACTCATGCTGGAGTGCGTATCGATGGCCAACATCCACCTCCACGAGATGCACATCGAAAAGTTGACAAGGCTGTATGCATCGGCCTGGCACCTGGTGTATTCAGCGGACGACCTAGCGAGGTCAGCTCATGCGAACAGGACGAGATCAAGGATACTCATGGACATCAAGTCGGGCAAGATGGCACCGGACGGATGGGATCCAATGAAACCATGGGACACGGTCTACAAGCTCCTGGTCTCAGACGAAAGATTTTGGCAGGAAAAAGTCCACGGCCCTGCACTAGCATGGATTGCAGCTGGCTCTAAGGGTCCTCCGAAGACGCCGGCAGAGCAACACGCCATGGCCTCAATGATGGGTGGAGTACAAGCAATCCAACCGAACGTGGAGGCCACATCTTCGACGGCACCTACACCAACGACACCAAGCTCCTCGAAGCTCAGGAGAGACGCGAGGAAGAAAAGGATGGCATCGGAGAGAGAGGAACTGAAGAAGTACCGCTCCAAGGAGGAGGGCACGAAGGGGAAGGGCAAAGGAAAGGAACAACCAAAACAACTATGCTATGGATGGAACAATGGAAATGGACCTTGTGCCTCCTTATCACCGGGGCAAAGCTGTGTATCGAAGACGCCAAGAGCCCACCGATGCACAGTATGTGGAAGCCCAGGGCACCCTTCACGGTCCTGCCCACAAAGGAAAGAAGATGCATGATGGGGCCATCTGAGGCTTCATTTATGCAGACAACCCAGAAGGTGGCGGACCTCCTCCATCGAAGAAGGCAAGATCCTCGAAACACATTGAAGGTGGCGACATGGACAAGGACAGCAACCAAGAAGGCAAGGACAAGGACCAGGACAATGAAGAGGAGTCGGACCCTCTACATGCCAACAACATTGAGGAGTACTACGGCAAGAGGGTTTTCATTTTCTTACATCATTTCGCGGGCCCAAACGACCCGTTGTCCGCAGAGATACAAAAGGAAGCCACGGCTGCGGGCATTAAGGTCAAGTGCATCAGCGTGGAGAAATCAAGCGGGACTGGTGATCTCCTGCAAGATGACCCCTACAATACACATTTGGGGTGGGCTCACAACGGGTACATTGATGCATACCACTCAGGGTTTCCATGCACGACCTTTTCGAAACTTCGATTCAGGCCTGCAGAGGGATTAACTGGTCCGGTGAGAACCATGGACGAGCCCTACGGTAAGAAGGACAACACGGCAGCAGAGCAGGAGGAATGCGACAGGGGAACAGTCATGGCTTGCCGCTCCATCGACATGGCAAGAGCTGTGGCGGAACGGAAAGGAGAAGCCAGAATAAAGGCAAGTGCAACCTTGGAGAAGCCCCCTCCTTCATCACAGGAGGGTCACCTCAGTGCTTGGGAACTGCCGGAGTTGGGGGCTTTCTGACCTTGGAAGCGACCAACTTCGCGATGTTCAACACCAGCAACTATGAGCCTGAGGATTCAAATGGGGCAGAAGCATTTCAAGCCACAGAAATTCGCAGGGAATTTGCTGGGCATCAGGGCATTGGAGAGGAGCTGCGTCTGCGAGGGAGGTCACGACCCAATCGTAGGAAGAACCAAGTCGAAGGCCTCTGCAGAGTACCCCAAGGCACTTTGCCTGGAATATGCCAAACTCTTGATCGCCCACCTCAAACTCATGGGGAAGGAGGAGTTCCTGGCATACCGCATGAAGGCACTCAAAGGGGAGCTACCCACGGGGCCAAAAAGGTGACGTACCCGAAGGGCAAACCAGAGGGATCAAAACATTCAGAGGCTGAACAAGTCAGCACTGACAGAATCGAGCTCGTCGGCAAGGGCATCATCTTCGACCCCAAGACCTTTGGAATGGTCGGAGGGCTATGGCAAGTACGGCGTGCTGAAACCTTCGTTGGCGGCCGACCAGGACCCTGCCCTGCCAAGGAAGTGTATGTTGGAGGACTGAGGGACCCTTTCAAGGTGGTGAACGCAAGGGCAGCCATGCTCAGGGTCCGAGCAGCATGGGAGGCCCTGGTGCGGAAGATGCCACATGCAACTCAGGTGGCGGAGTCCTATGGCACGAAGCAATGCTACCTGGACAAGAGGGTTGTGGAAGAATGGAAAGCCAGCCTGCGCAAGGTACTTGGGGCAGCTGCCCCAAAAGCAGTGCGCATCAAAGGCAGGTACGAGTACACTTCCCCGCGTGACCCCGGCCTGTTAGAGGCTTGGACGAACAAGTCTGGGCTCACGTATACCTAATTGGGTACGAGAAGGTGCACCCTTGGGCATCGAACGTCAGATCGAGACGTGCGGAGGAAGCCCGAGATGAATGCAAAGGGCCGATAGAGATGGGGGAGCCTTGGGCCAACATGGCGGAGGTCACGAACTACAGCTCGGTAAGCCGAGAAACGGATGGGCCACGGCACGGTCTCACGTTTGGGCCTCATCGTCAAAACGAAGCCCAACGGCATCGACCTCAAACGCTCCCACGGGAACGACAAGAGAAACTGGTGCTGCCGAGACCCCGGGACGCCGTGGACATGATGCGGGACGTCTTCGAAAAGAGGCAGCCGTACGGGGCGAGCTCCTCCTATGGCAGGGAACTGGTCGTGATTGACATTTCCAATGCGTTCATGGCTTTGGGGGTTCATGCAGAAGAACACCCCCACACCTTGGCTCCCAGCTTGGATGAAGGAGAGTTCTACCTGTTTGCAGCCCTCCTCTTCGGGTACAAGACAGCCCCATTGCTCTGGTCGAGAGTAGCGGCACTCTGGGCGCGCATCGCGCAATCCATTCTTCAGAGGGCACGAGGCGCAGCACCAGACGTACCTCGACGACGCCCTCTGGATCCTTCAAGGAGAACTTCAAGAACGAAACTCGAACCTGGTGCTCATCCTGACCACCGCCGCGGCACTCGCTGGTTGAGGACAACTTGATCTTCTGCGCCGCCTCTGTACGCAGGCAGCCAGGCTTGTTCACATGGCGCACTGGACTGATTCATTTATGCCGCATATGATTTTCTTTTCAAAATGATTGATTTAATTTTGTATAACCCACCTCAAACTGAGGTGTGGCTGCCGGTCCGCGACTCCGCATGGACCCACCTTTACGCTCTGGCGGCCGTGGCAATGGTGGCCTTGCTCCTCCTGGGAGCCCTAGCAAAGAGCTGCTTCCTCGGGATCAAGTTCGGCAAGCGCTACTTCAAGTTGGAAATGCTAGGCCACATTCACGAGGCCAAGGACAGACGGCGGCAGACACATCCCATTGTCGCGGTTTCCCAAGGAGCTCATCCAGCTGGCGACTTTCGTAACGAGAAGGACGACTATGCCACAACGAAGGGTTCCGATTTTGGGGGGAACACCACCGGAGGGGTGAGCACTTTCTCCACCCGTGGAGGGCAAGACATGAAGGTAGAATCTGAGTTCCCTCCCTCACCTCCAACCTTTGTTTGGGAGGGAATGGAAAATCACTTAGGTGATGGAGGTGCTCAACAAGATGACCAAGTAGACTCAGATTTTGGGGGACGCGCTGAAGCTCCTGAAACATCAGCTCGAACAACCAGCGAGGCGAACGCGCTCAACGTTAGCGGGCACAACAGGAAGCTACTATGGTGGAGTTGCAAGGCAAGAAGGGCTCAGGAAGACTTCGTCATCGCTTTGGACGAGGAGGACAACCCAGCTGGCGACCCGGCACTCCTTTCTCACGTGAGCGGCATCTGAATCCCCCTGAACGTCAGAGCATTGTTGAACCTGCTCACATCCTGGCCAGGCCAAAACCCGCCGCCAAGTGCATGGTGACGAAGGCTATGCAGAATCCGAAGAAGAGGAAAAGATTCAAAGGATCAGCGTCCATCGCATCACTGGGGCGGGCTGATCTACCGAAACGGCAATCAAAGCAAGGGCCAAAAAGGGAAGGCGTCCATGAAGTTGGCCATCGAGCTGGTCAAGGCCAACAACTTTGCGGCAGCGGCGATTCAGAACATCGAGAAGGACTACTACGCCAACTCATCTCGCTCAGCCAAAGAAGCAAAGCGCAAAGCAGTGAAGGACTTGCTAGCAGCGGCCCACATGGCATCATACCCTCTGGATCCGAAGAAGATAAAGCTCATCGCGGGTGTTCTTCGTGAAGGGGGCTACAAGTCGGCAGATACCTACCTTGTGGAGGCGAAGACGGCCCACATTGAAGAGGGCTGGCCTTGGACGGCCTTGCTTGACAGACACTTCAAGCTATGCAGAAAAGCAGTTAAACGAGGCCAAGGACCACAGAAGAAAGCCCCAGAGGTCGAGAGAGACCTTTGGACATCGCTTGGATTACTCGATGTGAATGTTCCGGGCACGAAGGTTCCACTGTCTCCCCAGCTGTTCGCATTTGGGGTACTATTCATGATGAGGGAGATAGAGCTAGCTGCCCTCACGACCAAGGATGTGAAGTTGGATCAGGCTGGTCACGGTGACATGGAGGGAATCCAAAATGGACCAGGAAGGCAACTCCATTTCCAGAACGCTGCAGTGCATATGCATGACTGCCCTTACGCAGTGGCAGAAGTTCTCCTCAACTCGACGATACTCAAAGGAGCTCATGGCGGACACTTCACTGTCGACGAAACGGGGAAGCCGACCACAAAGTCGGACCTAGTTAAGGACTGGGTCGAGCTCTTCGGCATGAAGGTCACGGGCCACTCGACGAGGAGATCGGGGGCTTTGCAGTACATAAGGCAGGGCTGGGCCGTACCCCATGTTGGGTACTTAGGGAGATGGAAATCAAACGTCATCCTCCAATATGCGGAGGAAGCCCTGGAGACGATTGCAGCAAACACTCCAGGCAGGTTTGGAAAACCACCCGACGCTCCGAACGTTGAGAAGGTCCAGCCTTTGTCGACCGTACTGAAACCAGACCCGGACACGGGGCCGAAGATAGACAATGAAGCCATAATCGCTCAAATTAAGGCAGATATCAGCAAGCTCAAGAATGGCACGAAGGTACTCACGAAGGATTTCAATGACGCGGTGGAGGACTTGAAGTCCAAAATGGAATCAGCACAGAAATTCCTGCCGAAGTACGTGATATCCCACCTCCCACCGATATCAAGTGACGCACATCAACAACCGGATCTTGCTGTACGCCCCGGCAGCTCAATGGAGGACAATCTGCGGGTGGCACTACTACAGCTCCACCTATCAATTTGCGGAGATGGAGCTGCAGTGAACTGCACGAAGTGCAACGGGATCGCGCAATGCAAGGAGGTGGAAAAGGGTTCCAGTTAGCACTGCACAAAATTTTGTGCTGACTGGCATTCAAGCAGACCTGCAAGGATCCATTTTCTCGGCCAACCAAAAAGAGTGCTGAGCTGTAGGGAGGGATGGTGGCTTCACTTTGCACAGTGCCACCGCAGTGTGTCGTAAAAGAAAAAACAAAGTTTTCTGCATGACAAAACGTAAGGTGCCACTGTCGGGCCATTTTGGCTCAAGATGGACAGTGGCACCATGTATCAAATGTTACTTTCCACTCCGACTCCCACCCACCCATAAGGGGACGAGGTGGAAAAGCGATCCAGTTAGCACTGCACAGAATTTTGTGCTGACTGGCATTCAAGCAGATCTGACAGCAAGGATCCATTTTCTCGGCCAACCAAAAGAGTGCTGAGCTGTAGGGAGGGATGGTGGCTTCACTTTTGCACAGTGCCACCGCAGTGTGTCCATCACTCCTTGCCATTTCCGGGTGGATTTTGATGGATTTTACAACGTCTTTATCACAGAGTCTCGGATGGTCCAAACCTGTCAAATCCCTGAAGACGCCTCCCGTTCAGGCGGATACCGTTCCTTGGTGCAAGAGCTGTCTTGGTGCATCAGATAATCATTTGGTTATTTAACACAGCCATGGAAAATCACCATGTAATAGGTAAACCATCTATAAATGAGCCATTTCCCATTGCTATGTTAAATAACGAGAGGGTAATCATCAGACAAAATCGAAGGTTTTGAGAGACCTAATAGGACCTGTAGTGCTGTCACTGTTCAACGTACAGCACAGCATGCAAAGGTTTCCGGCCCCACCGGTCGATTGTTTTTTGCCTATCCAAGGAAGAATTGGTGAAAGCAGGCAAGGCAGATGGATTGAGGGACGGCGTGGTGCTGCGGACCAGTTTGCACCCCAAAATATATAATGTATAGGCTTTCAGCTTCACAACCTATACAACCTTGTATCCACACTCCGGATCCCGAAAACATATGAAAACATCACGGACGGTTCCGACACATGCCCACAGGCTGCAAATTCTGTTTGACTTGATGTGAGGCATGGAACGGGAATTCGTGGGACGGCTTCCGGTGCGAGTTGCGCTGCAAGCCTTGTCAAAAGAGGACCTGTTCCAAGTGCTCACGACCCTTGGCACGGTGCTTGAAGGATCAGCAGACTGGTTTCTAAAACAAAAATCTTAGCCACGCATAGCACGAACTATTGGGTGGGATCATTGCACAGCCTGTGATTCAAGGAAAGCCGAAGATGGTGCCGCACAGCTGCACTTGTTGGACGGGCAACAGATATCCCAAGGTCATACGCATTTCAGAAGATCACAGGGGCTCTAGCAGCTGTAACCAGATCTGCAACTATAGATCTCCAATTATTCTGTTCAATATTATTCTGTTATTCGAGTTGATCTAGTTGCAGATCAGATTGTGACTGGAATCCATCATATCGTATAATTCAGTTGTAGTGATCGCCGTGATCGCCAACAAAATGCCCAAAAGTGTTTCCAGGATGTGAAAAGGATGATCCCATCCCATTGCACTGGTTGGTCAGCAAATATTCCTATTCTGGGTTATACATGGTTATACCGTTATACCCTCCCAACTAACATACCCTACCATACCATCCCTAGATCCCTAGGGGGTTGGCCGTTATTTCCCACGAAAATTGGGTTCCAAGGCCACGGCACAGCTGACAGATGACTTCCGCCGCTATGGCATAGAGCAACTTGGTGAGGGCTGGGTGACACTGGGTATCTTAATATAGGGTGATTTAAACAGCAGAAAAATGAGGTAAGCCAGCAATACTAGGGTGATAAATGGGATATATATATATATAAAATTCATATTGTGTGGTCCCTGAAAATTGGGGGAAGAACCTCCCAGTTTATGGCATTTTTATGGGGATCATGATGCTAAACCACAAGATTTTGAGGCACCTCAATCGTCGCTCAGGAGGATTGCCCAAAACTGGATGGGTAAATATGAAAGATGACCACCAGGAATATGTACGCACAAATATACGATTATATACGCCTTATTACAACTTATTCACTGCGTTCACTCAGAATTGTCCTAAACACCAAGAATGGTACCCTCTGGTAATTTAACATAGCTATTGAAAATGGCCCATTTATAGTGAGTTTTCCCATTAAAAATGGTGATTTTCCATAGTTATGTTAGTTTACCAGAGGGTATCTTGATCACGCCAAGGCTTCGATTCTCGGAGGAGGCTTTGCACGCCGTGGCACAGAAAGCTGCGAAGGAAGGCACCGGAGCCAGAGCATTGGTGTGGAGACTCAGGTCACAACCAGAGTCGGGTCATGGGATGTCATGGGAAAAAACACATATCAGGAAATCATGGGTGCTTTTTAGTTATAGCTTACAACTTCATCAACTTCTACAGATATGGGTTTGAAACATTTTTTTTTTGCCGGTGCAGCCTCAGAATGGCCGTTTTAATGATTGGAATGGGCACAGCGACGGATCCATCAGGAGTTGGGTCCATTTTTCTCAGGTGACCATCCTCGAGAACACCTTGTAGCCCTGCTGCAGATGGTGATGTCATGTGGGTCACAGCCTGAAAGCTTGTACAGTCACCCCCGAACAGAGAGAATAGTATTTCATAGTATTTAGATGATATTTACACAGGACATATATTTAGTAATATATTTACTATAACCTCATATATTTTCAGGTTTTCGACTTTTCTATCCTGGGCAAGCGCCAGCGCCATGCTTGTGCTGGCTACACTGGAGATTTCAACCCCAAATGTCAAGACCTGGTGGTTTTTCCGGAGAATTTTCAGATACCAAGACCTGGTGGGTGCCATAAATGGGGTAACACCAATAGCTGGATGGTATTTATAATATTTATAAGATGTATAATGGGAAATCCGACCAACCCTGGATGAGTTGGGAGTACCCCCATTTAAAAAAAAAACTCCAAAACGGGCCGTGGGCGTTTCAGGGCGCCAGGAGCTTGATCCATAGCTGATAGGCTTGCCATGATCTACTATGAAATCTCTAACAAAAAGTGGAATAGTTTTGTTATAATCCAATGAATTACAGCTATATGATGGTATGATAGTTACATGATAGCTATATGATAGTTACATGATAGCTATATGATAGTTATATGTGTCTTTTGGCCCTTACTTTCCCAGTGTTTCACAGTTCACGTTTTCTTGTCAGGCGGCGCTACAAGTACAGCATGCCCTCGCTGGTGCCGAAAGGCTGTAAGGTCTTGGAGGCGGGGATTGGCTGGTGATTTAGTGAGATATCAATTGCATTGGTATCATACTGTGGATGGAAGAAATCCTGCACCACCTTGGATGGTTGAAACCCTATGAATAATGGGATAAACAACCGTTTTCAACTGGTGCAAGATTTCTTCCATCCACAGTATGGATGTTTCCTATGTCATGGGGGTGCCCCCAAATCATCCAGTTTATTTTCGGATGTTCCGTTGTAAACCAGCCAGCTATTGGGGTATCCCGCTATGCCCATTTCTGGAAACCCCCATATGTTCGTATCAATGGGTGATCACATGGGTCATTTTTGGTTGCCATCAGGCCATCCTTTGTAAGATATGATATGATGATTGTACAACCAACATGAATGTGAGATATGAGCAAACTTATGGATATATGATATATATATATATATGATATATATATATATAATATATTTGATATACATAGATCTGGGTCCAAGAATGAGGGACAGGCCCATTTACGACCATTGAATAGTTGGAAACACACGATTAAATCTCTGGATGTGGATAGTCCGTGTTTAATGATATGGTATCACTGACATCCGCAAGCAAAAGAGGGAGATACTATGATGGGATCCAAACAAAGATGGACAAAAATCTGCGATTTGCGTAGCTTCAAACGTCAAGACAGGTCGGAGCACTGGCCTGTTCAATTAAACACCCACGAAACAACAACATTTTTTTTGTGCTCATTACTACGTACTTGTATGTTAGTACTTGTCGAAGTTGCGGTAATCAAGAGCGAGTTTATATATAATAACCAATATTGGTCGGCGTGCACAGGACGGATATCAAACATTTTGTCCATGTTGTCAAAAGTCATCAATACTTGTAATATTGTCATGGTATGCATGCGAATATTGGACTTAGATTGTGCATCAATCATTCTGCTGTCCCTTTTGGCAGGTGGAACCCAAGTTGATTGAACACCCTGAAGAAGAATTGCAGAAATTGCTTGACCTGATGAGTTATGCTGAGCAAAAATTAAATCATTTCAGATACATTAGTTTATTGACATATCTAAGATACATATTTTTTGGAACATAAATAAAGATTTGGATTTTTAAACTACTTGTGTGGGCTTTTCTTGGGTTTTGCATAGATTCTACATCAATAGTTTAAGTGAATCTACATATATAATCATACATATATATATACATATATATGTATATATAATATATATATAGATTTCCCATATGATTCTATATATAATCATATGATTTTTGGTCATTGGGTTAAGTTGTCTGTGCCTGTTTAAAGTCCTTCCGGAAATCGTTGTGTTTTGGATGTTTTCTGTGCAACTTTCATTTTTGGAGTTGTTGGGAGTGATTTTTTTTCTTTTGCTTGTGCCCCGTGGAAAGTGCAAATCTGATTTCAAGATTTACGTGCCTATATGTCATTTGTGGCATTCATTATCATACATCCACATCTTTGCTGTTGCCCAGTTTGGGTTGGGTGGGCCAAACTTCGCGCGGACCTCGCGCGGACCTCGCGCGATATCGCGCGGGGCTCGAGCAGGGCCTTCCAATTCACCCGTTTGTTACTTTATAAATCAGTTAGTAGGATGTGTACGTTTTGTTACCTACATTATATTTTGTTGCCCATGAAAGGTGCTGTGCCGTTGGGTCCAATATTTAGCTATAGGGATGTAGAGGCCATTGCATTTTCCTGTTCGAATCTCCAAAAATATATGACAAACTTGAGACTTACTACAGTGTGCGCAAAGAATCCGATGACATCAATATATTCCGAAAAGGTTTCTGCAAAATATGTGCCTATCGTGTTTTGATATCTTTTGGTTGACTTTTCGCGGGATGCCTGACTTTGTGCGTTTGAGCTGTGCCCATGGGGATATTTAACTTTAGACGGACATGCCTGACTTAACACCCCGACCCAATATGATTTTTCATTATAAATAATTTTGGATAATATTATTGGTTAAACATATTTTTTGAATATATATATACTCACTCATAGTGAACTTGCTCCGCCCTATCCAAAATCTTGCATTTAGCTGGGGGAGACTTACCAGGAAAGTCGCCCCAATATGCATTGAGTTGCTGTGGAGTAGTCGCATGCAATAGAAAATTATATGTTAATATAATAGTTACTTTATTTAGCGTGAAATTTATATGGGGGAACTTGTTGCTTTGTTATACCTGGGTCAGTCATGTGACCGTCGAATAAATCGAGTCTCGTGTTTAAATATTGCCTTACCCGGGGGGGAACCATTCGAACATAATTTCATCGATTTATCTAATTTGATGCAATTTAAAGATATTTATCAGCAGTACTGCACAAGGCGGTGGCGGAAGCTTCAAAGATAGGAAACTATAGGAGAGGTGAGTTGTTGTGATGCATGGATGGCAGAGCGAATCCACTGATGGACCAAAAGGTGGTTGGAGTTGTGCTTTTTGGAGTGGTTGCAGTGGTCACCTCACCCACAACTGCTGGATGTACTGTAGTGTAGTTGTAGTTGTTGTTGTTGTTATTATTGTTGTTGTTGTCGTTGTCTTTGTAGTTGTAGTTGAAGTGTATTGGTCCTGTAGTGGTCCTGTAGTGGTCGTGTAGTGGTAGTGTAGTGTGGTGAAGTGGAGTGCAATGTAGTGTGGTGGAGTTGTAATTGTAGTTGTAGTTGTACTTGCAGTCATGTTGGAGTTGGAGTTGGGGTTGGGATTGGGATTGGGGTTGGGGTTGGGGTTGGGATTGGAGTTGGGGTTGGAGTTGGGATGGGATTGGAGTTGGGATTAGTATAATATAGTAATAATGAAGGCTATATATTTGAATTACGGTAATGATATTTAAATATGTGGAGGGCGGGCTAGAGCGCGAAACCCCGGAAATAAGATGAAAATAATTGAAAATATATGAATTCCCCTTTTGTATATTTAAATATAATTATAATATATATTTAAATAAATTAAATTTTATATATTTAAATAATTGGACGAAT